ACCTAGTACTCGTTTCCTAACGAAAGCATTGCTCACTCGGGTGTCCCAGGATATACGAGCAATGCTTCGAAGACACCTATGATTGAAAACCAATAACCTACGAATATCTTCTACTCTCACTGTCCATGTTTCACAGCCATATAGGAGAACGGAGCGAACTACTGCGCAGTACACCCGTCCTTTAGTCAGCGAACGGATATCTCGCCTACGCCATAAGTGACGCAGGTTGGCCAAAGCCAATCGAGCTTTCTGTATCCGAGCTGAGATTTCGTCAGTCACCAGGCCATCGGCACTGATGAGACTCCCAAGATAAGTGAAGCGGTCTACACGTTCGACTACTTCACTCCCTATCACTAGTTCAGGTGCCGATGCAACCCAATCTTCGTAGATGATTTTGCTCTTCTTATCGCACAAACAACAACAAATGCAAGAAAAGACGAACAGTGTAGCAGCAGCATCAGCTCTCAACATACATAATCGGGAAAAACAAGATTCTCCGATACAACAAAAGATGCGTCAACCAAATCACTCTTGATGGAGATTCTTTGGGGGACATATCTGGGCAGCATCATCGAAAATCGAAGTGGATCCGATGCAGATGTGAGGGCACGGATTGGCAAAGCAAGGGCTGCATTTCTACAATTGAAAAATATCTGGAACTCCAAACAACTGTCAATCAACACCAAAATCAGAATTTTCAATACAAATGTCAAGACTGTTCTACTGTATGAGGTGAAAACTTAGAGAACTACGAAAGCCATCATCCAGAAGATACAAGTGTTTATGAACAGTTGTCTACGCAAAATACTTCGAATCCGTTGGTCAGACACCATCAGCAACAACCTACTGTGTGTGAGAGAACAAACCAGATCCTAATAGAGGAAGAAATCAGCAAAAAGCGCAAGGAGTGAATAGGGCACACATTGAGGAAATCACCCAACCGCGTCATAACACAAGCCCTCACTTGGAACCCTCAAGATTAAAGGAAAAGAAGAAGACCGAAAGACACATTACGCCGAGAAATAGAGACAGACATGAGGAGAATGAATAAAAATTGAACAGAAGTGGTAAGGGAAGTCCAGGACACAGTAGGTTGGAGAATACTTGTCGATGGCCTATGCTCCATTCGGCGGCAACAGATGTAAGGAAGTAAGCATCATGTTCATCCAGTCAATGTTTCAAAATTTGAATGATACAGAACAATTCGAAGTACTTGTTGTTTAAATCTTCCTGATTTATTGATTAGTGAAAGTATCCATCCTATGAATGCTAAATTGTACAGTCTTACACAATCAAGTATTCTACACTTTTCTAGCTGTAAAAAATATCGATTCATTCGAATAAGTGAATAAAACCATAATTAGAAAAATATTGAAATGAAACTATGTAAATCTGTGTATTGATCTAAACTATCGAAAGTAATCATTGTGAAATTTCAAATATTCTGCAAGTTGGATATTTGATTGAAACAACATTGTAGTGAATAAATACTCCATTCAAATTCATTCTGTGTTCAATATGAATTTCTAAATTTAGGAAAGGGTTTTATGTGTATATATATACTACTTATCAATTAAAAAGAACAACACACTACTCGTAGTAATTTATTAAAGAAAGGATAATATCACAAACTTTGAAACACAAACTTCAACTGGAATTAGTCAAATGAATAATCTACTCTGGAATGCACTTTGTAGGCGGATTTCAATGACAATAATCATCTCAGACAAGCTTTGAGTTCCTAATGTGGACGATCTACAATACGTTTACAACTGTAATCGAATCTCGTTCAGTATGCCTTCTGACAGACAAAATCTGTAATAGACATTCTCTTATAACAGACTTGTGTTGAGAAAACCACTAGTCTCTTCACAGTTGCATATTTCTGAACAAGATTCTTCTCTTTCAACTTGATTCACTGAGTTGCTAGTGTATAAATTTGCTTTAGAGTGAAAATAAACATTGAAACCTAATTGAATGCACTTCGACAAGTCATGACGTTTCTTCTATGTTGGTATAGATTTATTGGAGTCGAATATTCATGGAGTGATTGGAGCTACAGACCGAGAAATAGGAAACTCTACATTTTACACATACGATACTCTTTATAAGCTCACGTGTATAACTGTAAATCATGGATTAAAATACTCGTCAGTTGATGTGCTTGGAAGCTATTACCAGTTCAACTTACTCGGTAAACGGAACGAAGGTCAACGATACAGTGATACGAGAGGCTATCCTAATCCGTTGTCCCAGGCCCAGGCTGACTATGTCAAGAAGTCTTGATATGGAGTAGAGAATTTACTCTACAGGCAACCAGAAAATACCACGTGTCTAAGCACACAAACCAAGCTTATTTACACAATGATTGAAAGGCTCTTGAGAGAGCCACGAAAATAGTATACTAAAAAAATCCATCAACCTATGATAGTCGAGAATTTTACGAGTGCAGAATGTAAGCTGAAGGTCAACTGGCGCGAAAACATGGAGATTCAAAATTTCGAGCTATAATTACAAAATTAGGACCTTTCAAAGTGAGTTCTGGTGACCTAAGGTCCTCAATATGGATGTGATTTTGGTAGTTTGTGAGACACAGTGTAGTGGGCGAGGGTGGTTAGCACACTTCGACTTGCGAAATTATTTGCATAACTGATATGTAGATACAGCTATAAACACCCACATATTTGGGTCGGCCCTACCCATCACGGCTGACACTGAGAACTTCATGAAATCCATCTCGAATCGTTATTATTACATAGCTTCTGAGATTTATGTATGGAATATTTTCCTGTTAATTTGAACGGACTCATCATAATATAGCACGCCGTCTGGAGTTGACAGTTTTAATTCAGTATAAGCGAGAAGTGTGATAAGTGATATCTTTCAGATTTCATGTGTGAAACAATCATTATAGTTAAACAGTCGTGTTTGTTCCCTCATTCCATAATAAAATCATGAATATTTACATCTTAATAAAGTTATCAATATTCGAAACTATTGAGCTGAAATGTAATTGCATGAATTAGATAGACATCAGTTGTACAGTTTGTTTTAATTGATCAAATGTGTATTTTGTGAATACGAAAGAGTTTATACTTGTACTCAATCCTCAATCAACGCAACTATGATAAACTAATATGCTTATCTAACATGTGATAGCTCATATACCTGATATAATGATGAGCCAATCAAAGGTCATTTGATGACCGTCAGAAGATCCCTAAAGGACGAATGCATATGATTGGTTGAGACATGTCCTTACTTTCTAAGGAGATATGTATAAATATAAACGAGTAGTTTGTTCATATTATTCAATTGTCAAATAGACTTTCTTTGCCGCTTCTGTCTTCTTACTCAAGCATTTAGTTCCGAGTGGTTGGCGCATATCGTCGTGGTGATCAGATCAAGAACATTGCATATCATAACAGTACCCTTGAATTTTTTTGAATTCAAATTGTAAGAGATTGCAAACCTATCAGCATGAAAATACTACCACTATTTCTAATGGAACACTAACCATAATCATATAATTTCACCTATGCTTATATATATATATATATGGATATTCTGAATATTACGTTTCATTTTACATACTATACTAACAAGCTTCACCATTGCTGTTAAGAACAATTTACAATTACTCGCCGATTTGTCTCAACTTAATTATCTCTGTCAACTGTATTGTTGAGTTTAATTGAAAGCAAAAATCGATCATTGTTAGATCACTATCAGGAATTCACAAGTGCTGAACAGCCATCTCGTCTTAAGTATGAAACTGACTTATCAGTGGCAATGTATATCCCCAACTCCCGCCACTCACACGATTCGAACCCTTGGACTTTCGGTCTCACACACACTTAACCAATCAATCAATAGTAACATAGAACTTCGTTCGTACGTACGTACGTGCGTATGTACATCAGTTCATGTTGCCATAACACATTAGCACAGAGAGATGTAATTGTCAATTCAGATCATATAATCGCATATGTAGTAGAAATATTAGCGGCAGTCGAGAAGATTAGGGCTCGAAGATATTATTCAACAAGTATAATTTGGTGAAATAAATTTCAAAATATTAGCAGTAATCGGAAAGAGTAGGGCTCGAAGATATTATTCAAGAAGTAGAATCTACTGAAATAAACTTAAAAAGAGAAAGATAAAGGTGATGAGGACATGACAGATACAACGCAGAACTTCGTACGTAAGTACATAAGTTCAGGTTGCCATACCACAACATTAGCACAGAGACGCAACTGTCAGTTCAAATCCAAGAGTGATAGAGATAGTAGAAGTATTAGCAGCAATGGAGAAGATTAGGGAGCGAAGATTCAAGTAGTATAATTCAGGGAGACAAATGTAGAAGGAGAAAGATAGAGATTATGAGGAATTCAGGTTAGAATTTAACAGGACAAAAAGAATGGATGCACTTGCGCCATTGCAAACGATTCTGAGCCATGTCGTTCAAGGTCTCTAAACATTGGTGACTTTCGTCTCGCGGACCCCAACCACATAGCCTACATCTACCATTATGACTCAGTCGACTTATCAGTGACTTCATGGATTGATGCCATGTTTTGGTTTGGCCGCCCCTAGCTTTCTTCCAACCTACTCCTGTACTACAAAAGATAGCTAGTAGAGGCAGTCGGTAGTTAGCCATACGTAATACATGTCCCAACCACCTCAACTGTTGAAGTTTCACTACTTCATCTATTGATTTACCAACCCTACCTAGAACTCGTTTCCTAACGAAAGCATTGCTTATACGGTTGTCCCAGGATACACGAAACGTGATGAAGAACTCGTAAGATTAGCATTTGAGAGAACACAAAGAATGCAAATGCACCTACACCATTGCAACGATCATCAGCCCCATGTCATTTCATGACACACACAGGCCAATTAATTCACATTGAAAAAAACCATTGACACGCACTGGCGTAAACTCATATACACACGTACACACGTACACACGCACACACACATTAACTATTACGCACTGTGTTTATTTGGGGACAATCTAAAAATTAAATTTTAAACAAACAAACAAACAAATCAAACAAAAAAACAAATGGAGTAACACCATGTAAACAATTTTTTCAAAATACACAATAAACAAGAAACAACAACAAAGAAAAAAGCCAAATAAAATTTGAACAAAAAAAAAGTTCCCAAAACTGGCATCGCTCTTGTATGATGCTGGTCACGAGTACATTCAATAATTGCAAAAAGGAGGGAATATATTATATTGGGAATTGACAGACGGGACCAGCGGCAAAAGGTGGATTCACTTATTGATATTTTTGTTTACATTGAGAATGAAGCCATCCATTCGCTTGGAATTTTCTCTCTGTGTGTGTATGTGTGTGCAGGTGTGTGTGTGTGTGCGTGATGAATAGCGCGAAATTCATTTTTCTTTGAATAAACCAACACATGGAAAAGAAGAAGATGAAGGAATAATTTTGAGAAATAAAACACAAGAAAATTCATAAATAAGAAATGCAATGATTTAAAAAAATGAAAACTGGACAAAAATGCAGTGTAGATGTAATATGAAATCGAATTCTATTCGTTGATTACTAACTAAATTTGTGTTAGGATTATTCATCATCAAATAATATCCTAAGAGAATTAATTATTGGTCAATTCCTATTGGTTAATTTCTATTGGTCAATTTCATGGTCGTCTTAGATTTCAAGGTCACATACTCCAATGTTATTTATTATTGGTTGTCCTGACTATCAATGTCACTTCAAATGTTGCTTCCTATTGATCATCTTAACTGTCAATGTCACAGAATTCGATGCTGTTTCCTATTTGACCAAAATGTATAAAATACGCATTATGTGTAAGGTTTTATGACCACGACCAGGACCCGGTCCCGGATCCCTAGTCTGGGACCCTGATTCTCTTCTGGATTCGGTTCTCGTAATTTCTGGGTGCTTGTAGAATGGAAGTTCTACTTCATATCAAGTCTTCTTATTTTAACTCAATATGTGGGTTGGGGCCTATCAAAGCGACGTATTTAAGTGCATGCGTAACAATTTGTTTTGCTTTTTTTTAAAAATATTTTATCTAAACACATGATTGTTGATACAAAAGGAGGTGCCTTAAATATTTATGCACCACACAAACCAATCGATTTGTGTACATAGGCTAGGGCTAGTACGCGGGTGCTCAAATCGGGATAGGTGATTTTCTTGAGAAGACACTCTCTGAGCCCTTCGTCTACAGGTCTGATCTACGTTTGCAGGAGCAATACCATCATGGTAGTCTGTTACCACGATCAACGGGCTCCTGTGTATTATTGATTTGGAATCAGGGTTTTCCAACTCCTCTCCATCAATCCGGTTTAAGCCCTCGCTATACATTCTCTTTTCATCGTCTTAATTTCGTGAAGGAATCTCCTCCTACGAGAAGTCGATGAGTAAAACTTCCCTGACAATGACTATATACGTTTGACCATTTGAGAGCATTTAGAGAGAGAACGAACTCTATCCACTTTTGGTTGTACCAGGTCATCTGGGGGACAAACAATATGGTTATATAAAGAGACAATCTGAGTAATTTCAATAGCCCGAAATTTAACATCTGTGAATAGGATGGTAAAAGTATTAAACATAGGAAATCGGCTAAATATCAGCTGATTACACACACAGACTGTCGTCAGTCAGTTACAACGTAGAAATTCGTACATGCGTACATATTTCCCGCTGCTGGGATACGGCGGCAGGCACACTCTCGATAAATTGCGACGCCAACAACAGTGCCCCCGACTCCTCATCCATACTCGGCAGCGCACGGCGCAGCAACATCGTGAGCTCCATAGCCAGCACCAGTGGGTCACAATCGACAGGCAACCTCGCCAACCGAAACCTCTGCGGCGCCTCCTCCTTGTCCACTGGGTCGACGAACTCCGTCACCGTCTCCCACGCCGTCTTCCCGGCGGCACTGTCCGAACTGTCGTATACAGCCTTTGCAAAACATCAATCCATTGTCACTATTCATGCGTTTCATACAAATTCCATTGTGTTCTTCTAACTCTCCCTTTCTTGTTGATCTTCCCTCATCTTCTGCTGCCAGACATTACGTTTTCACTCGCGTCATATACTACTTATAAGTAGCGCGCACCACAGTAGTAGAGGTAGCAGAAATTTTAGCAGTAATCAGAGAGATTAATGTTCGAAGATATGATTCGAGAAGTATACTTCAATGAAATAAATTTCAGAAGAGAAAGATGAAAGTCATGAGGAATTTAGAAGGTTAGGAGGACAAAAAGAATGGATGCACCAGCGCGTCAATGCAAACGATTTCGAATGATGTCATATTCCAGGTCTCTAACCATCGGTTAGTATCATGTCACGGACCCCAATCAGGTAGTCGACATCTACTAACATGGCTCAGTCCACATGTCAGTGACTTCATAGACTTCTGCCATGTTTTGGTCTGGCCGCTCCCTAGATTTCCTCTAACCTACTCGCATATCACATAACAAAAACAAGTTTCAAAACAATAAATATCAATTGCAATAAAATAGTGCATAGCTGCTCACTTAATTTTAACCATTTCGGTACACTACTAGACATGTCAGGATCAATTTGATTGGTACGTCTTAGATTTTTCTGTAGGTCATTATTATTATTCCTTTGAGACGAACTACTTTGCTGTGCATTATCGAATGGTAAATTGTTCATCCTATATGTATATATATATATATATATATATTAGAGAAGAATTAAACAAAACTTTGTATACAATCGAAATTTTATGCAATATACACTGAATATGTAAGTGTATTATGGATTATTTTACAAGTTAAAAAAAAAACCAACTGAGAAGAAATTTGTAACTCTACATACTACTACACTTACGGACTTAAAAACAGACAGATACAATGCACAGAATTTCGCACGTGTAAGTAAATCAGTTCAGGTTGCCATACCACAACATTAGCACAGAGACGCAATTGTCAATTCAAATCCAAGAGTGATAGAGATAGTAGAAGTATTAGCAGTAATGGAGAAGATTAGGGAGCGAAGATTTGATTCGAGAAGTATAATTCAGTGAGATCAATTTAGAAGGAGAAAGATAGAGATTATGAGGAATTCAGAAGGTTAGAATTAGAGAGAACACAAAGGGTGGATGTACCTGCACCATTGCAAACGATTCTGAACTATGTCGTTCAAGGTCTTTAACCATTGGTGACTTTCGTGTTAAGCATTCACTCGCAAGACCTAGAACTCGTTTCCTAACGATAGCATGGCTTATACGGTTGTCCCAGTATACGCGGGCAATTCTTCAGAGACACCGATGATCGAAGACTAGTAACCTACGAACATCTTCTACTCTTAACGGCCATATTTCGCATCCGTACAATAGGACAGAGCGAACTGCTGCACAGTACACTCGTCCTTTGGTTAGCGAACGGATATCTCGCCTTCGCCATAGGTGACGCAGGTCAGCAAAAGCTAACCGAGCCTTCTGTGTCCGACTAAAACGCATGCTTTATTGTTGTTAACTTACCTACACCTGTTACCCCTGAGACATAGGCAAACCTACCTTTCCAGTCTTACTCAATTGCTACTTATTCTTTTCTCATGTCTGAGTTCAATGCTTAGCGCAGTAGGTCTACCTCATTTTTTTGGCCTTGAGGGTTGCAAGTTACAGATTGCCTTGTGATTGTAGTTTGATGATTTTTGTAATGTGTATTCTATCCACCTCCACATAGAGTAGTTACGTTTGTTAATTAAAGCTTAAACATCAATGCTAAACTCACATTTTTTGTTCGATTACAGAAAATTCTATTGATATCAAGTATTTGGACATGTGTTACGCATGGCTGACCAGCGACTGCCTCGACGAGCTATGTTTTGCAGTGTAGGAGTAGGTTGGAAGAAAGCTAGGGGCGGCCAGACCAAAACATGGCACAAATCCATAAAATCACTGTTGAGTGGACAGAGTCATGTTGGTAGTTGTAGGCTACCTGGTTGGGGTCCGCGAGAAGTAATTCACCAATGGTTAGAGACGTTGAACGACATGGTTTAGAATCGTTTGCAATGGCGCAGGTGCATCCACTATTTATGTTCCCTCTAATTCTAAACGTCTGAATTCCTCATAATCTCTACCTTACTCCTTCTAAATTTATCTTACTGAATTATACTTTTCGAATCATATCTTCGCTCCTTAATCTTCTCCATTACTGCTAATACTTCTACTGTTGCTATCACTTTTGGATTTGAACTGACAGTTGCGTCTCTGTGCTGATGTGGTATGGCAACCTGAACTGATGTACTTACGGTATGAAATTCTGAGTTGTATCTGTCTATCTGTCTGTCTATTTCAAATATTTTAGACAGCAAATATTGCTAATTTTTACTTCATTATTCATAACACACAATTTGTCGATCGTCACACTTTAAATTTTGCGCAAAATAACATGAATCGTTTATCTCAGTTCTGATTGGTTCATCACTACTCAAGGCCATCAGTGCAGTGTACTTTTATCTAATTTAAAAGGTACCATAACTAATGAATACTTCAAACAATTTATATTGATCAAAATGAAATTAAAAAAGTCTATTACAACAATAATACCATAGTTGAAGTTAGATATGAACACTGTTGGTTCTATACTAACCGAATGGTAAATAACTCAAAAGTTCACGACCACAAAACTGCCGGGTTCAATTCCTGCTAGCAGAGGCTCTAGCTACACATTGTTTTGATAAGTCTTATAGTTGGAAATGAAACACTCATTCAATGCTTTCAAATGTGTTCACTAGTGACTAGCTAGCTTTGTGAAGAAATTCTCGGAGTTCTAGTGAGAGAAGACGTGATCAGTGGAGGAGTTCGACCCTTCAGGGGTGTAGACAGTAACTATCAAAGACAAATCGGTGAGGTCGTGCAAAATCACTAGATCAATCAGAGTTGGATGCCAGCTAAGCAGTGATCCAGAGGTTAGGCGTTCGCGCACAAAACCGAAGGTCACGGGTTCGAATCCTGCGAGGTGCAGCAGGAGTCGTGGGTGCGCACTACCACTGATGAGTCCCATACCATGACGAAACTCCTCTAATTGAAAATATAATAATTAATAGTCTAACACACACACACACACACAAGATTGGTTATAATAGCCAAAATCAACTTACCAATAGGAAACAATCGATTGAGCTTTGATGATATTCTCTTCATGAATTTGATTCAAAATATCTGATTTCAAAACTGTATACAATGGGGTATCGATACAAAATAGAATGAAAAAAAGTGATGATGTAATCATTGAAACAAAGAACAAACTGATTAAATGAAAGAAAAAGTAGAGAAAACGTTTAATTTTTGAGTTTCATTGAAATCACGAAATTGGTCAATAATGATTGAACTTCAACATAAACACCATTATTCAATACCGACCGACTCAGTGGTCTAGAGAGGTTAAGTATCAGTAGATGAAGTGGTGAAACTTCATTAGTTGAGGTGGTTGAGACATGTGTTACGTATGGCCAACCATCGACTGCCTCGACAAGCTATGTTTTGTGGTGTAGGAGTAGGTTGGAAGAAAGCTAGGGGCGGCCAGACCAAAACATGACAGAAATCCATGAAGTCACTGACAAGTGAACTGAGTCATGTTGGTAGATGTAGACTACCTGGTTGGGGTCCGCGAGACGATAGTCACCAATGGTTAGAGACCTTGAACGACATGGCTCAAAATCATTTGCGATGGCGCAAGTGCATCCATTCGTTGAGCTCTCTCAAATCCTAATCTTCTGGATTCGTCAACACCTCTACCTTTGTCTTTCTAACCTTATCTCACTGAATTATACTTCTTGAATAATATCTTCAAACCCTAGTCTTCTTCATTACCATTAATACCTCTACTATCTTTATCACTATGGGATTTGATTTGACATCTGCGTCTGTGCTAATGTGGTATGGCAACATGAACTTCTATACATACGTACGTAGCTCTACGTTACAAGTGACTGACTGAGAGGTTAAGTGTTCCCGCGTGGTACCTACAATCCCAGGTTCAATTCCCAATTACGAGGTCGTGGATACTATATGCTGTGTTGATAATTCTCATCATACCAGGACAAAAGGGCTGTTCAGTGCTTAGAGGTTTCTACTAGCGGTCTAACATTGATCCATCCATCTGTGAGTACAATGATATTGACTATTTATTCTATAGTTATCGTTGAAATATCTAACGATGATAGAGTCAATTCATATCATTAGAATGGATTCTTTGATTTTTGTTGATTGAAGTTTAACATAATAGAAAGGAAAATAATTATACTGGATTAGAGGAGTTTCATAACTTATATCAAGATAATAATAATAAATGCGGTTTTCAGTGAAAAATTAAATGATCGGTTACAAGTAATAAATCAGTGAATTGGTGCTTTGTAGTTGTCACATGATATTGGTCATTATAGATAGAGTTATGTTCTATGTAGCGGAATCCAGGACATGTATATCATGTACGAGATTAGTTAGTGTGGATTTTCCCATTTAAGTCCCGAATTTGACGAAACACGTATTTTCATTTGGTCGCTAAGCTTGGAAGCATTGAACAGCTGTTTCGTCCTTGTATGGGACTCATTAATCAAACTTCATAATTTCCATAATTCGATAATGAAAAGTTATGCAATTCTCTTAATTTTAGTCAGAAAGCGTGAACAGTGCAATTCACCAGTGTCGAGTGTAGGCAAAATTTATCGAAGATAATGGGTGAAGTTGCTCAATATCAGGGATTGGTCAGAGTTAGACACTAATACACGTGAGGCTGAAGATTCTGAGTTTAATTCAAGCTTAAGAGATCATGGATAGGCACTGCTGATGAGTTCCATACTTACAGCGAGATAGTCGTTCAGTGTTTGCAGGTTTCGAATAGCCGTGTAACATTCATTGATTCGTGATTACAATGCTATTGTTCATTTCTTCTCTAATGTGGATTTTAACACTCAAGTCCTGAACTCGATGAAACACGTACTTACTTACGCGTACGTACATCAGTGTTCAGGTTGTCTGAGCATACTTGCAACATACGGTCGCCAATGTCTGTTCTCTGAGCCGCAACACCATAACATCCAAGAAGGTGTCTCTCCTGCTCACTTAGTCTACCTAACTGAGCATTAAAGTCACCAGCCATTAATACTACATCAGAGCGCTTAACTTTTTGGAGGAGGTCCGAAACCTTTCTGTAAAACTCATCTTTAACCTCGTCTAAACTGCAGTCAGTGGGAGTATAGGCATATACGATGAAGAGGCAACGGCGAGTGTCCCTATCCTTACGAGTCCTCACTGTCCCGTTTAGTCGGACAGCACACAAGCGACTATCTACTGGGATCCAGTCCAGGAGAGATAGTTCTGCCGTACGACTCAATGCTATGTCTACGCCAGTGAGACCCCTGGAAGCAGCATCTGAGCTACCGGATACACGAAGAGTAAATCGAGCTGTTTCTTTATTTTGACAAGGTGAAATCAGATTAACAATTTTACTAGGATCCTGTATGCGCGTTTCCGAGACGCAGCATACATCGATGGCACGAGATTCTAAAGTCCTAGCTAATGATGCCTGTTGCCCTATTTGACACAATGTCCGTACATTAAATGCTCCAACATATAGTCTAGAACGAGGTTTCAAGAGACCAGAAATGACGTTTCGTGAACTCTCATCATTTGCATTAGCTGTGCAGTGTGATAAATGAATGTGGGAAGAGTTAATCGTGGAGAGAAGAGAGGTACTAGGGGGTGTAGGAAGGATTTGATTTTGACCGATTCGGTCTCGTGTGCTGGTACGGGTATGAGGGAGGTTATCACTTCCCGGCTGCCCATACCGTGGAAGGTTGTTTCTTGAGAAACCTTAAAAGGAAGATAGATTAGCGTTGGTCTTGGTACCATGACTCAGTCCAGTTGTCAATGACTTCAAAGACGCCCCTAGCTTTCTTCTTGTATATATAAATACATACACATTGCACATTCCTAACCGAGAATAGTTAGACAGAGAATATATAAAACTTATCAACAGTTAATAAATTGAACATAAAGGGATAACATTAAGAAAATTATTCAAAAAATACAACACTATAATAAAACATACTATTTTCAGCTGGTATATCAGAAGGATGATAAAATACTTTTGATAAAGGCACTAAATTAGCCTATGGAAAAAAGGAGATTAAAACAAAAAAACATGAACATAAAATAGACAAAAAAAATGAATTTCGCGGAATAAAAAACAATTCATTTTAAAGAAAATATCAATTAGAACTGATGAAATCTACACATTTGAAATCACGAATCGATCAATGTTAGACTACCACCATTAGAAACCTAGAAGCACTCTATGTAGACGGCCGTTTCGTTCTGGTATAAGACTCGTCAGTGACAATGCGCATCCATGACTCCTACTGTAGTGAAGGAGAACACCTGTGGGGCAACCGAACTGTATTTAACGGAAATTACAGAGTTAGTTACTCAGTAAAATAGGAAAACCATATCGTATATCGTTAATTTGCAAAATATCAGTTCATCATATCGAACTGGATTGTTCCTGTTGCAAAACATCAATCCATTGTCAATATTCATGCGTTTCATACACAAATTCCATTGTGTTCCCCCCACTCTTCCTTTCTTGATCTTCCCCCATCTTCTGCTGCTAGACATTACGTTGACACCCACGTCATATACTACTTATAAGTAGCTCGCACCACACTACTACTCACGAGATTCGAACCCAGAACCTTCGATCTTGTGCACGTGAACGCCTAACCTCTGGACCGCTGCTTAGCTGGCATCCAACAGTGTTAATGTCTAACTCTAGTCAATCTAGGGATTTTATGCGACCTCATCCATTTGTCTTTGGTAGTTACTGCCTACATCCAACAGAGTTGAACTTCACTGGTCATATCCCATATCAGAATGAAACGGCCATCTTTCAATGCTTCCAGATTTCTAATATTGGTAGTCTAACAATGATTGATTGATGAGTTCAAATGTGTAAAACCATTGATCTGCATAACTATAATGAAATCTAATTTTAGAAAAATACACTAACTATTAATGAGGTTATTATTCGATGGTGTATTAATAAAACACACTATCATACAGTGGTGTGTGCTACTTATACGAACGATATAAGTAGTAGTATAAGAAGGGATGTGAAAGAAGAAGTCTCACGGTCAGAAGAGGAAAACGGAAAGCAAATGGAGCAAAAGCAAGAAGTAAATGGAGTACCGACAGGAAGCAGGAAAGGAAGCGACAACAGGAATGGAAGAAGAAGGATGGAGTGTTGGAAGTCACAACTCACAAATGGTGTGCAAATAGAGTGGTGTTCAATGTAATGTTTTCGTTTTTAATTAACTAAGAGTGTAAATTTGCATAATACAATCTTCCGCGCCTGCCTCAGTCTTCTCAATACGATGGAATAGTCGAATAGATTTTCTCTAGTTTACTTAATTAATCAGAGAGCTATTACGATTATAGAGAGAGAGAAAGATGGTGGATAGCAGTAGGATCTAAGATGCACACCTGATGCTATATATTTTAGGACTCTTCAGCTAGATGCACCTGCGTTCCAGAGTTGATGTTCATTCTAAGACTTCAAATGGCATCACGCTGTCCGCTTAAAAACTTGAATGCTTGTGTATCGTATGTGAGCATCAACATTGAGATGCAGATACATGCAGTAGACCAGTTCAAAATGGGACAAAATACGCAATATTCTGTATTCCACTGCTAGCCCAGATGTACATAGATACCCAATGAGATTGATCACAATTTCGTAGTCTTAAACACATCCAACAAGAAGATTCAAACAGTCATTCAACCCGATAGAGAGAGAGAGGGTTCGTGTTCAAATCATGCTACAGAGAATACATCAGTTTGCATAAATAAAACGTTAAATTCCACCACCACACTACTCGCAAAGTTGCCTGTAAATTACAAAGTCATGAAATTCACAAGTACCATTGGGATACTATCACCATATCGAGCTGTCGAGAATTGCTCGTAAACGCCTTCAAAAAAAAATAATGAACACATTTCATTTTAAAAGCAAATTCCTAGTCAAGCTCTTGTGCTGTTACGGGTAATAGGTCCCGGCTGTCCACACTGTGGAAAGGTGCTTCTTGGGGAATCCGAAAAGGAAATCGGATTAGCGTTGGTCTTAAAGACCTGGTAGCGTGACCACAGAACCTAAGGGATAACTGCTTGAGACCGGTCAAACGTGTCCGTTTTATGAGGGGTTTTAAAATTGCTTCGAGTGACTTTACCACCGCAGACAGGAATCCGTAAGGTAAGATGAAGTGTGAAATTTTTAGAGTTGACCGTTTTTAACCCCTTCTTTACTTATGGGAAGGTAGCATCGCTACAGATGCTGGTAGTTCGAGCGAAACACCTTACTGCTGTTATACTACACTCAGAAATACGAATCCGCTCTCAGACCTTGAGTAGCTGCTTTTAGTCTCACCGTTTTCCAATCCACGTGCCTAGCATGGCAGGACCGAAAGGAACATATGTTATATTATTAAAGCTCGGTTAGGTCATCACGATACACAAGTTCGACCACCACCTCCTATATGGCTGTGAAACATGGCCGTTAAGAGTAGAAGATGTTCGTAGGTTACTAGTATTCGACCACAGATGTCTTCGAAGCATTGCTCGTATATCGTGGGACAACCGAGTAAGCAATGCTGTAGTTAGGAAACGAGTACTAGGTAAGGATGGCAAATCAACAGATGCAGTATTGGAACTCCACCAGTTGAGGTGGCTGGGACATGTGTTACGTATGCCGAACCACCGACTGCATCGTCGAACTATATTTTGTGGTGTAGGAGTAGGTTGGAAGAAAGCTAGGGGCGGCCAGACCAAAACATGGCACAAATCCATGAAGTTACTGACAAGTGGACTCAGTCATGTTGGTAGATGTAGACTACCTGGTTGGGGTCCGCGAGACGAAAGTCACCGATGGTTAGAGACCTTGAACGACATGGCTCAGAATCGTTTGCAATGGCGCGAGTGCATACATTCTTTGTGGTCTCTCAAATCCTAATTTTCTGGATTCTTCAGCACCTCTACCTTTGTCTTTCTAACCCGATCTCACTGAATTATATTTCTTGAATAATATCTTCGAACCCTAATCTTCTTCATTACCATTAATACCTCTACTATCTTTATCACTATGGGATTTGATTTGACATCTGCGTCTGTGCTAATGTGGTATGGCAACATGAACTTCTATACATACGTACGTAGTTTTACGTTGCAACTAACTAACCACCAAGTCACAGTAGCAGCTACGGTCGGGTAAATTCATAGATAGCTCTAGGAAGCGATTCCCATCCAGAAGCAGGTTGATATGATATCAAAAAGGCTGTGGAAACAGCAGTGATATCGGCTAGTGAGGTAAACCATAAGGCTAGGATGAAGCCGTGGATATTAGTCGCATCCACCGAACTGATGGATGCTCGAAAACGCATCCCACCTGACTCTGAGCATGATGAAGAGCGTAGTCAGCTTAGGCGCAGACTTATAAAAAGTCTACGTAACGACCGCGAACAGTGGTGGGTGGCGAAAGCAAAAGCGATGGAGAAGACAGCGGCGACAGGCAACACTAGACAACTTTTCCGCCTTATTAAAGAAACTGGTATCAGGAACCCGAATGTGAGTGAGACTATCTCGGAAAAGGATGGTCTTATTATCCATTCTCAATCCAGGAGACTGGATCGATGGGCAGAACACTTTAGGGATCAGTTCAACTGGCCACGAGCCACTCTTCGGTTACCCACGATCTCCAGTCATCCTGAATGGCAAATCGACGTAAGTCCCCCTAGTCTTAATGAAGTTGAAAAAGCGTTGAGAAATCTGAAGCGAGGACGAGCTGCAGGTCCTGATAGACTGACCCCTGAGATATTTAAGGATGGTGGTCCAGTTTTATCTGCTAGGTTGACTGAGATCTTAGGTAGAATCTGGGAACTGGACGCAATCCCATCCGACTGGTCTCAATCACTGATTGTCCCAATCTATAAGAAAGGACAGAAGTCTTCTTGTGACAATCACAGGGGAATAAGTCTAACTAATATAGTATCTAAAATACTGGCCTCAATAATACTTCGACGCTTAACGAAAGCTCGTGAAGAGCAGACTCGAGAAAACCAATCTGGTTTTCGACCTGGACGTGGCTGTATAGACCACATCTTCACACTCAGACAGGTCCTGGAACACAGACACACATTTAGGCGTCCTACAATAGTTGTTTGCCTAGACCTTAGGGCGGCATTTGACTCTGTTGATCGTAAGGTTCTGTGGCAGTGTCTGTCATTGAAAGGTGTACCAAAGAAGTACATTAACCTCATACAAGCTCTTTACTCGAACACCACTGGTCGAGTAAGGGCTTATGGCGAACTGTCACCGGAATTCTCTACATCAAGTGGTGTCCGTCAGGGATGTCCACTCTCTCCATTCTTGTTTAATTTTATCATAGACATGCTCCTAGACATAACATTATCCTCGTCTGAATTTTCACGAGTAGACCTTCTACCAGGTGGCTCGCTTATTGACTTAGAATATGCCGATGACATTGTCCTACTTGGTGAAGACGCTGACAAAATGCAGAGTCTTCTGACTACCCTAAGCAACAATGCAAGCATGTTCGGGATGCGGTTTTCCCCCTCGAAATGCAAAATGTTGCTTCAAGATTGGGTTGAATCGGCACCTGAACTAGTGATAGGGAGGGAAGTAGTCGAACGTGTAGACCGCTTCACTTTTCTGGGGAGTCTCATCAGTGCCGATGGCCTGGTGACTGACGAAATCACAGCACGGATACAGAAGGCTCGATTGGCTTTGGCCAACCTGCGTCACTTATGGCGTAGGCGAGATATCCGTTTGTTGACTAAAGGACGAGTGTACTGCGCAGTGGTTCGCTCCGTCTTACTTTATGGCTGTGAAACATGGCCAGTGAGAGTAGAAGATATTCGTAGGTTATTGGTTTTCGATCATAGGTGTCTTCGAAGCATTGCTCGTATACCGTGGGACAACCGAGTGAGCAATGCTGTCGTTAGGAAACGAGTACTAGGTAAGGATGGCAGATCAATAGATGAAGTATTGAAACTTCATCAGTTGAGGTGGTTGGGACATGTGCTGTGTATGCCTAACCACCGACTACCTCGACGAGCTTTGTTTTGTAGTGTAGGAGTAGGTTGGAAGAAAGTTAGGGGCGGCCAAACCAAAACATGGTAGAAATCCATGAAGTCATTGACTAGTGGACTGAGCCATGTCGGTAATTGTCGACTACCTGGTTGAGGTCCGCGAGATGATAATAATCGATGGTTAGAAACGCTGAATGACATGGCTCAAAATCGTTCGCAATGGCGCCGGTGCATCTATTCTCTGTGTTCTCTCAAATCCTAATCTTCTGGATTCTTCAACACCTCTAGTTTCGACTCTCTAAACTTTTCTCACTGAATCATACTTCTTGAGTAGTATCTTCTAATCCTAACCTCTCCGATTATTTCTAATTCCCTTACTACCTCTTCTACTATTGGATTTGAATTGACGATTACTTCTCTGTGCTGATGTGGTATGGCAACATGAACTGATGTACTTATGTACAAAGTTCTACGTTGCATCTGACTGACTGACGGAGTTCTAGGAAGACAATGAATTCTGTGATATACTTTGATTGAATAATTAACGATTATGTCTCCAAAAGGTTGCAAATAAACCTTTAAAAATACTCTTGTTTACTTTTTTCAATACATAATCCACTTGCTTTATAACTGAAGGTGTCGTCGCTAGTTTCAGCCTTCTCTTCCCTTTTTTTTACAGTTTAAAAGCAAGTGATCTCTGGGTAACTGGGATGCAGTTACAAGTCAATGTCACGTGGTCAAATAACACATGTACCAAAAAGACAATACGCTACAATCCTTCTTGTTATAACAGATTCTGTGATTATTTTTTTTACCTATTCAACGTATTTACTACAAGTAACTCAATTTACATTACCAGTGTGGTGCGAGCTACTTATAAGTAGTATATGACATGAGTGTCAACGTCCAGTCGAACAGTCCAGTTCGATATGATGAACTGATATTTTGCAAATTAACGATTTACGATATGGCTTTCCGATTTTACTGAGTAACTGTAATTTTCGTTAAATAGAAATTCGGTTGCCCCACCTGTGTTCTCCTTCACTACACCAGTACCATCACACAGATATTAAATCACGTCAAACTTGAATCGAACACTAGAATAAGTTTTATTCCACAACACCTATTCAATCACGCAAATAAGTACCTGTCTGTCTACGCTCAATGACCAATCAGAGTTTTAAAAGCAAAATTATCACACAATTGGACAATTTAAGTAATAAAAGATACACTTAAAGAACATTCCTCTTTGGGGTCAAATAAAAAAAACGAGGGAAATTGGAAAAAGGAGAAATATATATATATATATATCTTAATTCTTACTTCAATTAACGTCTTATTTCTATCGGATAAAAACACCTTTGGCGGAGAAGTATCTGTGTGAGTAGAAGAAGAGAAAACGCAATGAAGTAACAACAATGATGTGATCGAGCAATTAAATTGTACATGTGAAGCGAAGTCAATTATCAAGTACAGACTATGAATACTATAGCATACAGAAGGTTCGATTGGCTTTCGCCAACCTGCATCACTTATAGCGTCCGCAAGATATCCCTTTGCTAACCAAAGGTTGAGTGTACTGTGCAGCATTTCGCTCCGTCCTATTATACGGCTGTAAAACATGGCCAATAAGAGTAGAGGATATTTCTAGGTTACTAGTATTCGATCATAGGTGTCTTCGAAGCATTGTTTGTGTATCGCGAGGCAACCGAGTAAGCAATGCTGCTTTTAGGAAGCAAGTCAGTCAGTCAGATGCAACGTAGAACTTCGTACGTAAGTACATCAGTTCATGTCGCCATACCACATCAGCACAGAGATATAATTGTCAATTCAAATCCAATAGAAGAGGTAGTAAAGGTATTAGAAGTAATCGGAGAGGTTAGAATTAGAAGATACTATTCAAGAAGTATGATTCAATGAGATAAGTTTAGAAAGTGAAAACTAGAGGTGTTGAAGAATCCAGAAGATTAGGATTTGAGAGAACACAGAGAATAAATGCACTGGCGCCATTGCGAACGATTTTGAGCCATGTCATTCAAGGTCTCTAACCAGACAGTCGACACTTACCAACATGACTCAGTCTACTTGTCAATGACTTCATGGATTTCTACCATGTTTTAGTTTGGCCGCCCCTAACTTTCTTCCAACCTACTCCTACACTACAAAACAAAGCTCGACGAGGCAGTCGGTGGTTAGGCATACGAACACGTGTCCCAACCACCTCAACTGATGAAGTTTCACCACTTCATCTATTGATCTGCCATCCTTACCTAGTACTCGTTTCCTAACGACAGCATTGCTCACTCGGTTGTCCCACGGTATACGAGCAATGCTTCGAAGACACCTATGATCGAAAACCAGTAACCGACGAATATCTTCTACTCTGAGATTTCGTTAGTCACCAGGCCATCAGCACTGATGAGACTCCCCAGATAAGAAAAGTGGTCAACACGCTCGACTATTTCACTCCCTATCACTAGTTCAGCCGATGCAACTCAATCTTGAAGAAACATTTTGCATTTCGAGGGGGAAATCCGCATCCCGAACATGCTTGCGTTGTTGCTTAGGGTAGTCAGAAGACTATGCACTTGTCAGCGTATAGAGAAAAGAATGTTCGATGCATGGGATGCATGGTCCAATCAAATTGTGTTTTGAAGACTAAGAAGACATGTGAAAGACGACAGTCAACAATCTGTTTGTTTTGTAAATAGAAATCCAATGTTTTAAAAGACATAAAATTAGAAAACAAACAGATATTTTGAAAACGACTACACACAACAACAGTAACAACAACGAAAAACACACATTACGTAACAACAAACAATTATGCAAACTTACATAACTGGAAGTTACATGTGGAATTGTGTAAATCACTGATAAATTCATATAATGCTGATACTATTAGAAAATAAGTAGTATAGAGAAAAAAACTAAATGATTATAAACGAGACGAGCACGCATATTATATAGGCATATCATATTCAATTATGAGAATAAATGGAAATGATTAGTCAGGATTGAAATCAGTGAATCAGTCATTGTTCGACCATCATTAGAAACTTGGAAGCACTGGACGACGACCGTGTGTCGAGTGTAGGCAGTAGTAACTACTGAAGATAAATTAGTGAAGTTGCACAAGATCACTTGTCGGCAACGTTAGATCCCCAGAACTCACTTGATTAAAATCCTAATATTGGATTTTATTCATAGACTGATCAGTTGACCTTAAGATTACATTTCCCAACCGAAAAAATAATTGACTGTCATTGGTCAATGCATTATATTTTAGTAGGCTAGTTTTGTGGCTCTTCCAAGGACGTTTCTATGATGTATAAATACACTCGATTTGTGTGCTTGTGAAACTCATATTTCCTGGCTGCTTGTAAAATACACTTTCTACGTCTTCCTTTACTTAGTGGGTTCCTTGGGACGCTCGGATTAGAGTACCCTATCGTGTAACAGGATCATTTGTCTTCACTGTCGTTTACCGACTAAGGTGAACTGATAATAGCATTCAAACATATCAACTGACGAGCATAACGTCGCCAGACTGATCAGAGTTAAAAACATGAACACTGTTGGATGCCGGCTGTCTGTTTTCATTTCACAATCATATAAATTCGCCTTCAGTCGGCAAGGGTAATTTTACATTGGTTTTCAGCAGAACCAAACACTGTTGTAGTGAAGGAGAATTGTAATTATCTCAAATTGCAGAGTTAATTGGTAAAATAGGAAAACCATATCGTAAATCGTTCATTTGCAAAATATCAATCCATCATATCGAACTGGACTGTTCCTGTTGCAAAACATCAATCCATTGTCACTATTCATGTGTTTCATACAAATTTCATTGTTTTCCCACTCTTCCTTTCTGAATCTTCTCCCATCTTCTGCTGCCAGACATTACGTTGACACTCACGTCATATACTACTTATAAGTAGCGCGCACCACACTATCAACATGTTAGACCATAACCTATGGCATATCCACCGCACAGGTACGTGATAACTCGGTGGACCATTCACACTATTTACATAGATCAATACATAGTGATTATTCACGTCAATCAATATGCAGAGTATGGACAGGCCGATTCGAACCATTTCGCCTATATGACTGTCGCAAACTCATTATTTTATGATTAACAATGGTGATATGTATTACAGAGGCCCCAAATGAAAATCGACCTCGGAAATGTTGCAAAACAACCACCATCAGTATCAATCGAATCAGTTATCCAGCATAAACTAAGTTTGTGTATGGATAACTATTAGCAAAGCTTGCCCAAAGTAATGCTAAAACATTCACAATGTTCATCATCATGAATCTCTGGTCACATAGGGAAATCATCAGCTCTATAAAACTCATGGCATATACATTGTATGGCGTAGGGATAGTAAGCGACGCAGTTCAATTTGGCGCAACTTAGGCTGAAACATATTTATTATCTTGTTATGCACGTCACTTGGTACGCTTGAGGCTATTACGAGTTCACCTTAGTCGATAGACGCGAACGCGACAATTACCAGCGTTCAGATAGACTACCTTGAATTCCAAGCTGTAAACAGAAAGCTTGGTAAGCGTAGAAAGTATATTCTACGAACACCCAGCAATCACAATACAATCAAGCACACAACTCTCGTTTATTTATACATCATAGACACGTCCTTCGGACAGTTACGAAAATAGCATACTAAAATACACAGCAGCCAATCACAGTCAAGAATTTTCCTGGTGGGAAATGAAATTTCAAGGTCAACTGATCAGCTCATAATGGCAACCGTGAAATCCAAAATAAGGCATTTATCAAACGAGTTCTGGGGATCTAAAACATCCCCAACATATCTTTTGCCTCATGTTAGGATACATTTTTAGTCACAAGAGAGAAATTTTCATTTTTCCAACGACACCTAAGAGCGAGCATATTTTAGTGCAATAAGCAAAATGGATGTTTCGTCAAAACAATGAACAACAACAGATATAGTGAAATATTCTACGATTGAGCAGAAGAAAGTACCTTGGATTTAAAGCTACATTTTTTAAGGAAGAATAAAGAAACCAACATGATCTCTTGTGCTATTACGATTATCAGGGCGGATGTCACTTCGAGGAACCCGTTGATCATAGAGACCTGGGAGCGTGACTGAACAGCCCAAAGGACAACTCCCTAAGGCCGGTCACGCACGGTCATTTTACAAGAAGTTTTTTAAAGTATTAGCTCCGTTCTTATTAAAAAATTTTACTGTCGGAGACGGGAATCCATGAGGTAAGGTGAGGTGTGACATTTTCACGGTAGATCTTTTCTAAACCCCTACCTTTCTTGTGAGAAAATAGCATCTCTGCAGATTCTGGTTGTCCAATGATAAACATCCCTTACTGCTGTCACACCCCTATACAGTCAGCAGTACGACTTCGCTCTTAGACCTTGAGAGAGAGAGTTTCGGTCTCTCATAAGGAAACACTTCAGCTCTGTATAGCTCATGGCATATACATTGTATGACATAGGGACAATAAAAGCGATACAATTCAGTTTGACGCCAATGGGGCTCAAACACATCTTTTGTCTCACATATCGGGAATTTTCCCGAAGACCATAATGAGAAGGCGACAAGACAAAGCATAAACAATGATTAATCTTTTTCATTAGGATGAAAACATGTAGTCTAGAACGGGGTTTCAGGAGACCAGAAATGACGTTTCGTGAACTCTCATCGTTTGCATTAGCTGTGCAGTGTGATAAAGGAATGTGAGAAGAGTTAGTCGTGGAGATAAGAGAGGTACTAGGGGGTGTATGAAGGATTTGATTTTGACCAATTTGGTCTCTAGTGCTGTTACGGGTACGAGGGTGGTTGTCACTTCCCGGCTGCTCACACCATGGAAGGTTGTTTCTTGAGGAACCTGAAAAGGAAGATAGATTAATGTTGGTCTTAGAGACCTGCGAACGTGATCGCAGAGACCAAGGGACAACTGCTAGAGGCCGGTCACGCACGGCCTTTTTATGAGAAGTTTTTTGAGTGTTAGCTCGGCTCTTGAAAGCCCTTATTGGGCACCCTTACCGCCGGAGACGGAAATACGTGAGGTAGGGTGAGGTGTGACATTTTCACGGTCGATCTTTTCTAACCCCTTCCTTTCTTGTGAGAAAACAGCATCTCTGCAGATGCTGGTTGTCCAAGGTAAACACCCCCTTACTGCTGTCACACTCCTCTACAGTCAGCAGTACGACTTCGATCTTAGACCTTGAGAGAGAGAGAGAGCTTCGGTCTCTGATAAGGAAACACTTCAGGCAACAAACGAAAGCGCATAAACACAATAATTATTCACCTTTTTCATTAGGATGAAAACATGCTTGAATGATTAAATTGTCAATCCATTGAAATTGTATAATTGCTCTATTATATTTAGCATAACGTTGACGATGAGCTTCACGTCGCATAGAGGATGTTTGTAATGGTTGATTATCTGACCTGTATAGACAACAACAACAATAGAACTAATGAAATCATATTTGATAAAAGTAGCTTTTTTTTATTTCTGGATTTAAAGCTAGTTTGGTCTCTTGTGTTGTGTTTACGAGTATAAGAGCGGATGTCACTTTACAGTTGTCTACACAATGCATAGGTGATACTTGGGGAACCTGAAAAAGAGGTTGAATTAGTGTGAGTCTTAGAGACCTTGGAACGTGACCACTGAACCCAAAGGACAACTGCTAGAGGCCGGTCACACACCGCCTTTCTATAGAGAGATTATATGCATATACATATATATTCATTGTCGACCTTTTCTAACCCTTCCTTCCTTGTGAGAAGACAGCATCGCTGCAGATGCTGGTTGTCCAACGGAAACACCTTACTGCTGTCACACCTCTCTATCACAGTCAGCAGTAGGACTTCACCCTCAGACCTTGAGTAGCTGCTTTTAGTCTCATCGTTCTCCAATCGACCTGCCTGGCATGGTAGAACCTTTAGGAACATAAGTTCCAGCCAATATAGCTCCGTTGGGTCACCGTAATAGGCAAACCCGACAACAACTTCAAGGTAGCAGCTATGATCTGGAATGAACAATAATAGTCACTGAAAAAGTGTAGTCATACTGCTACTATGAAGAATATGTAATTGCGTATGATGCGTACTAGTGTTCTATTGTGGAACGACCCTTCAGAAGAGTGCGTCTACTAAACCACACACACGCTAATCAAACTATTTTGCTCGTCAACTGTTGATATGCTTAAACTATTACGAGTTCACCTTGGTCGATAAACAAGAGCTAAGACAAATGATCCAGTGACACGATGAGCTACTCTAATCCGAGCGTCCCAAGCCCTCACACTAACTATATCAAAAAGTCTTGACATGGCGTAGAAAGTGTATTCTATAAGCACCCGAAGAATATGAGGTTTTGTACCGAACAAGAAGAAGAGGACCATAAAACTTTACAGACAATGCATATTTATACAGTTAGGTCAACCATGAATACTAACCAATAGGAAACAACATTTAAAAGTATGTGAACTTGATAGTTTGGAACGTTTTATGACCCGGACCCGGATCCCTAGTCCAGGAAGCTGATTTTCTTCTGGACTCGTACCTCGTACTTTCCGGATGTTTGTAGAGTACATGTTCAATTTCATATCAACTCTTCTTCTTTTACTCAATGGGAGTTTGGGACATGCAGATTAGAGTAGCTTGTTGTGTCGCCGGATCATCGATTCTCTCTTGTTTACCGACTAAGGTGAACTCGTTATAGGTAAAGCGTATCTATCAACTGACATGTTGTGACGTGCATGCGTAACACAGAGATGGTTAAGAAAAGTTGTAGCTCAAGGTAGGATGATTGTAGTGAGGCTTTGTTCTCTCTTAGCTAAATACTCTTGTAGTGGAGCATTCATTGTTTGGAAATGTGCACAGGCGGTAATCGAACCGTGAACTTGACGGACAATGAAATGCTCCACCAACCAAAAAACAAAAAAAAACATCCAGTTCACCGAGAGAATGAAACTTGATCACAATTAATAAATTAATAATTGAAAGCATGAATCGATCAATGTTAGACCAGCATTAGAAACCTGGAAGCACTGAAACACGGCCGTTTCTTCCTGGTATGGGACTCATCAGTGGCAGTGCGCATCCACGACTCCTGCAACCCGCAGGATTCGAACCCAAGACCTTCGGTATTGTTCGCGAACGCCCTAACCGTTAGATCACTGAGCCGGCATCTAACGGTGTTAATGTCTAACTTGATCAGATTCACGGAGTTGCGCAACCTCATACACCACAGTCTTCGGTAGTAGTTACTGTCTACTACACCCGAACAGATTGAACTTCACTGGTCACGTCTTCCCACTAGAACTCGAAGAAGATTCCTCACCAAGCTAGTCACTAGTGAGCACAGTGCTTCCAGGTTTGTAATGGTGGTGGTCTAACATTGATCGATTCATGCTTTCAAAAATGTGTAACTTAACAATCTTTACAACAAACTCGCATAATGCAAATTAATCATTGTTCAATAGATACATGTGTATAAATAGATATTTCTTTAAAATAATTAAGTTTTACTGTATTTTTGACAACTTACCATTCATTACGATATGAACGTATTAAATTACGTAGATCTTGTTCAGTATGTTGAAAAAATTCTTCTGGTAAATCATCATCATCACCGATTGATGCTTTATTGAATTGATGTTTCAATGTAAAACACACGCACACACCAACAAGTAGTAAGTATAGTGAGTGATGTTCAAAAATTCAAAATTAAATAAAATTTCAGTATTGTATGTATGATTTAATGAAAAAAAAAAATGTGTAAAACCAGTTAGTTAGTTAATTGCATTTATTGATAAAAGAGAGTTTCGTTTCTATTTATTGACTTATAAGGTCTAATTCACAAAGTAATCAGTTAGTCAAACAGTCGGTCAGTTAGAACGTAGAACTTTGTACGTGTGTACGTACGTACGTACGTAGATCAGTGCTCACGGTGCCGTATCAACATTAGGACAGAGTGAGATGGAATTGTCAATTGTCAAATCCGATAGTAGCAGAGGTTGTAAAAGTATTAACAGTGATGAAGAAGATTACAGTGCGAAGATATTATCCGAGAAGTATGATTCAGTGAAATAGACTTAAAAAGTGAAAGACAGAGGCGATAAGGAATTCAGAAGATTAGAAGTTGAGAGAAGACAAACAAACGGTTTAGGGTCTCGAACCATCGATTACTATCATCTTGCGAACCCCAATCAGGTTAGTCTACATCTACCAACATGACTCAGTCCACTTGTCAATGACTTCATGGCGAACTGTCACCGGAATTCTTTACTTCAAGTGGTGTCCTTCAGGGATGTCCACTCTCTCAATTCTTGTTTAATTTTATCATAGACATGCTCCTAGATATAACCTTATCCTCGTCTGAATTTTCAGGAGTAAACCTTTTACCAGGTGGCTCGCTAATTGACGTAGAATATGCCGATGACATAGTCCTACCTGGTGAAGACGCTGACAAAATGCAGAGTCTTCTGACCACCCTTAGCAACAATGCAAGCATGTTCGGGATGCGATTCTCACCGTCGAAATGCAAAATGTTGCTTCAAGATTGGGTTGCATCTCCGTCTGAACTAGTGATAGGGAGTGAAGTAGTCGAGCGTAAAGACCGCTTCACTTATCTTGGGAGTCTCATCAGCGCTGATGACCTGGTCACTGACAAAATCTCAGCTCGGATACAGAAGGCTCGGCTGGCTTTTACCAACCTGCGTCACCTATGGCGCAGGCGAGATATCCACTTGTTACAAAAGGATGGGTGTACTGCGCAGCAGTCCGCTCTTTTCTACTATACGGATGCGAAACATAGCCAAGTAGAGGAGTAGAGGAGTAGAGTAGAGGACATTCATAGGTTACTGGTTTGCGATCATCGGTGTATCCGAAGCATTGCTCGTGTATTCTGGGACAACCGAGAAAGCAATGCTATCGTTAGGAAACGATTACTAGGTAGGGATGACAAATCAATAGATGAAGTAGTGGAACTTCATCAGTTGAGGTGGCTGGGACGTGTTATTTATGCCTAACCACCGACTGCCTCGATGAGCTACGTTTTGTGGTGTAGGAGTAGGTTGGAAGAAAACTATGGGTGGCCAAACCAAAACATGGCACAAATACATGAAGTCACTGGCAAGTGGACTGAGTCATGTAGGTAGATGTAGGCTATCTGGTTGCTGTCCGCGAGACGAAAGTCACCGATGGTTAGAGACCTTGAACGACATGGTTCGGAATCGTTTGCAATGGCGCCGTTGCATCCACTCTTTGTGTGCTTTTTAATTCTAACCTTCTGAATTCCTCATAATCTCTTTCTCCTTCTAAATTTATCTCACTCAATTATACTTTTCGAATCATATCTTTGCTCCCCAATCTTCTCCATTACTGCTGATACTTCTACTATCGCTATCACTCTTGGATTTGAACTGATAGTTGCGTCACTGTGCTGATGTGGTATGGTAACCGGAACTGATGTACTTATATGTACGAAGTTCTGCGCTGTATCTGTCTGTCTGGATTTTTTCCATGTTTTAATTTGGCCGACCCTTACTTTCTTCCAACTTACTCCTACACCGCAAAATACAGTTCGACGAGGCAATCGGTGGTTGGGCATACGAAACACATATCCCAACCACCTCAACTGATGAAGTTTCACTACTTCTGTTGCTCATTAACTAATAGAAACCATTCAAAACCTTCAAAAGAAAAGGTTTACACACATTTCTAAACTGTAAAAATAAAAACACCATCAGAATTATACATAACACATTATTGGATATTTATTTAACACAAGATATAATCAATAAAGTCAAATTGGAAAAAATGCATAGAAGTTTACTTACATTTTTCATTGGATATAATATTCGACTGTCGACGAAATACAATGAATTCACGATCAACCATTTCGTTTGGCGATTCCGAGTATTCAGAATTTAATCTAATCATCACAATGAATAATAAATCATAATTGCTTGCATTATCATGTATAAATAGGTCTCAACATACATAATCGGGAAAAAGCAAAATTCTCCGATGCAACACAACATGCACTAACCAAATCACTCTTGATGGGGATGCCTTGGAGGACGTTAACACCTTTACATATCTGGGCAGCATCATCGACGAGAAAGGTGGATCCGATGCAGATGTGAGAGCACGGATTGGCAAAGTAAGGGCTGCATTTCTACAGTTGAAAAATATCTGGAAATCCAAACAACTTTCAAACAAAACCAAATTCAGGATTTTCAATACAAATGTGAAGACAGTTCTACTGTATGGAGTGGAAACTTAGAGAACTACCAAAGCCATCATCCAGAAGATACAAGTGTTTATTAACAGTTGTCTACGCGAAATAATTCGTATTCCTTGGCCAGACACCATCAGCAACAACGTACTGTGGGAGAGAACAAACCAGATTCCAGTGGATGAGGAAATCAGGAAGAAGCGGTGGAAGTGGATAGGACATACACTACGAAAAGCACCTAACTGCGTCACGAGACAAGCCCTCACATGGAACCCTCAAGGCAAAAGGAAAAGAGGAAGGCTAAGGAACAACACATTACGCCGACAAATAGAGAAAGATATGAGAGGAATGAACAAACATTGGACAGAACTGGATAGGGAAGCCCAGGACAGAGTTGGTTGGAGAAAACTGGTGAGCGGCCCAATGCTCTATTGGGGGTAACAGGCGTAAGTAAGTAAGTAAGTAAGTAAGTAAGTAATCATGTATAAATCTATCTTGAATATTTACGAACAAGTAATTAAAGATATACAGTACAATTTCTGTTAGGATCGTCACTAGGTATGCTTAAAACTATTACGGGTTCACCTTAGTCGATAAACGCGAACAAGACAATCAACCAGCGTTCAGGTAGGCTACCTTGATCCCAAAACAGCTGATGAGAAGTCTTGATACAGTGTAGAAAGTGTATTCTACAAACACCCAGCTAGCACAATGCAATAAAACACACAAATCTCGTTTATTTATACATCATAGAAACGTCCTTGGGACAGTTAAGAAAATAGCACACTAAAACACACAGTAACCAATCACAGCCATGGATTTTCCTAGTGGGAAATGAGATCTCAAGGTCAGCTAGATGAGCAGCCCATGCTCGGAAACATAAAATCCAAAATTAAGGCATTTATCAAACGAGTTCTGAGGATCTAACGTCCCCAATAATATCCACCAGTCATAGTCTATGTTAGGGTTAGGAATAAAAACGTACACTGACTAGATTAATTTAAATAGAACAAGATAAAGTTGACATTGAGGAATACAAAACCAAAAAGGAACAGAATGAGTTAATCGGTTATAGGTTTAAGTGGAGAAAGCCATGCATGAACAAAACAGCTCACAGAATCATAATATCAAGTGAAAACCGATGTCAGACAAGGTTGCTTACTTCCACCCTCTCTTTGATGTGATAGTTAACTGGATGATTATGAAACCTTTAACATATCAGGGAGCACAAGTATAAAGTACAGTAGACAGTTTGGATGCAATCAAACGACTTAGAGCTTGTTAATCACCTGATGCTTCTTTTCTATACACTGTAACAAATACAGGTGAAGATTGCCAGTGTAGCAGTAGAGTAACCTCTGCAGCAGTAGACCTCAACATACATACACTAATAAACATGCTGGATCTGATGAGGGTGGGAAGATATGCATTAACAAAGCAAGGGTAGAGCACTACTGTTGTGCACTAAAACTCAGGTGACGACATCAACATCTATCTATATTTAAGCGAATATTACACAGAGTTGTTAAGCATATATGTAAAAAAAACCTTCCCGTGAAATCATCATTTGCAAACACTAATCCTTATTTGTTTCAGATTTCAGTGTTCTGCCATTTAGACTGTTCATTCAGACTTTAGTTCACTTTACGTTCGTTACCTACAAATCGCCTTCTGTTCTCTCATTCTTTCCTTCTCGATTTTTTTACTGTCAGACGTTTGATTTCCATTTGATTTCATATATACTACTTATGTGAACATAAGTAGCGTACACCACACACTACTACAATTGAAGGACTTCTAGAACTCAAACCAACTGTCAGTCAACACACTAAAGTCACAAGTTTTTCAATACAAACGTCAATAATGGAGTGGAAACTTAGAGAACTACGAAAGCCACCATCCTATTGAATCAGAGAACAAACCATATTCCAGCTGAAGAATTAAGAAAAAAGCGCTGCAGGTGGAAAAGACACACTGTAGAAATCACCAAACACTTGCTCTAACTTGGAATCCTCAATATACCAAAGGAAAACAAGAAGACGACCAAAGAACATATTGCGCCGGAAATCCAAGACAGATGTGAAATGAATGGATAACAATTAGGAGCAGCTATAAAGGACAGCATAGGACAGAGTTGGTTAGAGATTGTTAATTGGGCTGCCTGTGCTCTAACGAGGAGTAGCGGTTAAATGTCTGCAAATCATTTCTATTTTATGTTAGATAGAATAAAAGTAGAACGCTTGAACCGTTAAAGCAATTTAAATACAACATTATGCACACCTGTATGATGAAAAACTCGATATGATTTTGAGATGGTGGAGAAGATTTGTAGATCAGGTGGATGATGAATGTGGTGGTGGTGGTGGTGGTGTTTGGTTCTCTGAGCTGGGTGTTTTGGTTGTGGAGCTTTCATTGTTCTTCTTTTTCTGAACAACATCATCAGCACAAACTTCAGATAGTTGGAGTGAAGCATTCGAATTTCTTCACGTTTGACCTGCAGCTTGTTCTGCTAACCTCGATCTTGATTGGTTGCTGTAGGCGTTGTTTGCACCTTTGTTTCGATTGTATCCCCCTTTTGATCTGTTTCTTGATCCTGTGTCACCTATGATTTTTCTGATTGTCTGATAAATTGAGTCGATGTCGATGTGTGTTGTTGATTGCTGATTGACCTGAGTGCCAAGCTTCTAAAAATTCTCTAGTGTTCTTTGTCCTCCCCCTATCCAGTATTTCCACATTGTCCATAATTGTCTGTGTGTATTGATATAAGCGACGCGTTGTCGTGGCGTTTGACTGCTAATTGATGTTCACGTAAACGGAGCTGAAGAGGCCGTCCACTCTGTCCTATATAGTGTTTCTTCTCACAGTCTGAGCAATTTATTTTGTAGATGATATTCAGTTTTTCTTCCTTTGTCATTTTCTCCTTTGGTCTACAACATAGGATTGATTGAAGTGATTCTGTGTTGGTTTGTGTGCCACACACCTATTCCAAATGGTTTCAGTAGACGTGCTGTATGCTCCGATATTTTCTTTGATGTATGGCCGGAGGATCCGTTTATGCAATCAAAACAAAGGTGCAAACAACGCCTACAGCAACCAATCAAGATCGAGGTTAGCAGAACAAGCTGCAGGTCAAACGTGGAGAAATTCGAATGCTTCACTCCAACTATCTGAAGTTTGTGCTGATGATGTTGTTCAGTAGAAGAACAATGAAAGCTCCACAACCAAAACACCCAGCTCAGAGAACCAAACACCACCACCGTAAACTCCATAGTTTATTAGCCTAAAAAAAACTACAACACACTATAAATCTATTCAGATCACAGATCCAAACACTTACAATGCTGAATTCAAATCTTGTCCTTCTGTATCAGCAGGAAACTAAAACAGAAACAGAAACAAAACAGATTTATACAGAAATACAAGACATTCAATATCGAAAAAAAATTATTGGTCAAATCCTATTGGTCGATTTCTATTGGTCAAATTTATGGTCATTTTAACTGTCAAAGTCAAATACTTCAACGGTGTCTCTTATTGGTCATCTGGACTGTCAATGTCATTTCAAATGTTACTTCCTATTGGACGTCTTAACTGTCAATGCCACAGAATTCGATGCTGTTTCCTATTCGTCCAAATGTATAAATACGCATTATCTGTAACATTTTATGACCAGGACCAGGGCTCGGTCCCGGAACGTGATTCTCTTCTGGATTCGGACCTCGTACTTTCTGAATGCTTGTAGAATACAGGTTCTACTTCATATCAAGTCTTCTTATTTATACTCAATATGGGGGTTGGGATAATCGGATTTGAGTAGCATGTTGCACCAGTTGACAAATTCAGCGCCATTTCATATTTCAGTAAAACAACTTTTCAAAACGATTTTGACCATCTTCATTGCAATATGGACACGTTGAAACCTCATGATTTTGTAGAATTTTCAAATATCTACTACATATAAAATCATTTGAGTATTAAGATAACAATTAGAAAACGATCTCTTAGTAGGTCAGTCAGTCAGTTAGTTAGTCAGCTACAACGTACAGTTTCGTATGTATGTACATCGGTGTGTTTAAATAGCCATACAACATTGTCACACGAAAATCGAATTGTCTCATCAAATACCATAGTGGTAGATGTAGTGTAGTGAACGAGAACACAGGTGGGGCGACCGAATTGTATTTAACGAAAATTACAGAGTTACTCGGTAAAATTTGAAAACCATATGGTAAATCGTTTTAATTTGCAAAATATCAGTTCATCCTATCGAACTGGACTGTTCCTGTTGCAAACAACATCAATCCATTGTCACTCACTATTCATGCGTTTCATACACAAATTTCATTGTGTTCCTCCCACTCTTCCTTTCTTTCTTGATCTTCCCCCATCTTCTCTTCTGCCAGACATTACGTTGACACTCACGTCATATACTACTTATAAGTAGCTCACACCACAGTAGTAGAAGTATTGGTAGCAATCAAAAAGATGAGTGAATGAGGATATTATCTCAGAAGTATATACAAGTAGAGACATTTTTTTTAAAAAAACAGAGAGAGATAGAAAAAAGGTGACAAAGGATCTAGAAGGTTAGGATTTGACTGAACACAAAGAGTGGGTGCACATGCGCCATTGCAAACGATTTTGAACCTTGTCATTCAAAGTATCTAACTATCGGTTATTATCATCTCGCGGACCCCAAACAAGCGGTCTGCACTAACTCAGTCAACTTGTCAGTGACCTCATTGACTTGTTTCATGTTTTCGTTTGACCACCCCTTGCTTTCTTCTAAGCTATTCCTATATCACAAAACAAAGCTCGTCGAGGTAGTCGGTGGTTGTGCATATGTAGTACATGAAGTTTCAATACTTCATCTATTGATCTACCATTCTTACCTAATACCCGTTTCCTTACAACAGCATTGCTTACTCGCTTGTCCAAGGATACACGAACAATGCTTCTAAGACACCTTTGATCGAAACTTACTTACTTACTTACGCCTGTTACCCCCAATGGAGCATAGGCCGCCCACCAGTTTTCTCCAACCAACTCTGTCCTGGGCTTCCCTATCCAGTTCTGTCCAATGTTTGTTCATTCCTCTCATATCTTTCTCTATTTCTCGGCGTAGTGTGTTCCTTGGCCTTCCTCTTTTCCTTTTGCCTTCAGGGTTCCATGTGAGGGCTTGTCTCGTGACGCAGTTGGATGCTTTTCGTAGTGTATGTCCTATCCACTTCCACCGCTTCTTCCTGATTGCCTCCTCCACTGGAATCTGACTTGTTCTCTCCCACAGTTCGTTGTTGCTGATGGTGTCTGGTCAACGAATCCGAAGTATTTTGCGTAGACAGCTGTTAATAAACACTTGTATCTTCTGAATGATGGCTTTGGTAGTTCTCCATGTTTCCGCTCCATACAGTAGAACTGTCTTGACATTTGTATTGAAAATCTTGATTTTGGTTTTGGTTGAAAGTTGTTTGGAGTTCCAGATATTTTTCAACTGTAGAAATGCAGCCCTCGCTTTGCCAATCCGCGCCCTCACATCTGCGTCCGATCCACCTTTCTCGTCGATGATGCTGCCAAGATATGTGAAGGTGTTAACGTCCTCCAAGGTATCTCCATCAAGCGTGATTCGGTTGGTGCATGTTGTTTTGCATCGGAGAATTTTGCTTTTTTCCTTTATGTATGTTGAGACCTACTGCTGCAGAGGCTGCTGCTACACTGGTCGTCTTCTCTTGCATTTGTTGTTGAGTGTGCGATAGAAGAGCCAAGTCATCTGCGAAGTCCAGATCGTCCGGCTGCGTGATGACTGTCCAGTTGATACCGTGCTTCCCTCCAGATGTTGACGTCTTCATAATCCAGTCGATGACCAGGAGAAAGAGAAAGGGTGAGAGTAAGCAACCTTGCCTGACACCGGTCTTCACCTCAAAAGAGTCTGTCAGCTGACCTCCGTGCACGATTTTGCAGTTGAATCCATCATAAGAATTCCGTATGATGTTAACTATTTTCTCAGGCACACCGTAGTGTCGAAGAAGCCTCCATAGTGTTTTCCTATCCACGCTATCGAATGCTTTCTCGTAGTCGATGAAGTTGATGTAGAGTGGTGAGTTCCATTCAATTGATTGTACCACAATGATACGTAATGTAGCAATTTGGTCAGTACATGATCGATCCTTACGAAATCCGGCCTGTTGATCTCGAAGTTGGGCGTCTACGAAGTCCTTCATTCTGTTTAACAATACTCTGTTGAAGACTTTGCCTGGTATTGAAAGAAGAGTGATGCCTCTGTAGTTTTCACACTTGCTGAGATCGCCTTTCTTTGGTATTTTGATGAGGTATCCTTCTTTCCAATCTGATGGTACTTGTTCCTCATCCCAAATCTTCTTGAAGAGAATGTGAAATATTTTCGCAGTTGCTTCCACATCTGCTTTCATTGCCTCTGCTGGAATGTTGTCTGGTCCTGCTGCTTTGCCGTTCTTCATTTGTCTGATAGCTATACTGATCTCCTCAATCGTAGGTGCGCCAATATTAATTGGGAGGTCCTTGGATGCTGCGTCGATGTTGGGTGGGTTGAGTGGAGCTGGTCGATTCAATAGTTCCTTAAAGTGCTCCACCCACCTATTTCGCTGTTCTTCAGTGTTGCTGATTATTTTCCCTTCCTTGCTTTTCACTGGTCGTTCTGGTTTACGATAGTTCCCGGCGAGCTTCTTTGTTGTTTCGTACAATTGTCTCACGTTTCCTTCTCTTGCAGCCTTTTCCGCCGTCATTGCTAGATCTTCCACATATTTTCGTTTGTCAGCTCTGATGCTCTTCTTCACTTCCCTGTTTGCTTCTGTATACTCGGCTTGCGCCTTAACTTTCTCTGTTCTTGTTCGGCTGACATTGATTACTGCCTTCTTGTTCCTCCTTTCTTCAATTTTTTCAAGAGTACCAACAGAGATCCATTCCTTGTGATGGTGCTTCTTGCGACCAAGGACCTCCTGACATGTTGAAGTGATTGCCTCCTTAATCCCTTTCCAAATGTTCTCCAATGTTGCTTCCTCTCCATTGAGTAGATCCTGAAAGGCCTGGAACCTATTGGTGAGGGCTATCTTGAATTCATTGAGTTTTACGGTATCCCGAAGAAAGGCTGTATTAAACTTCTGGGATGTTGTCTGCCCCGTTGTCCAGTGCTTCTTTAGCTTCAATCTCATTTTGGCGATCAGCAAGTGGTGATCTGAAGCTATATCAGCTCCTCTCTTGGTTCTCACATCCTCCACGGTCCTTCTGAACTTTTTGTTGATACAGATATGGTCAATTTGGTTTTGAGTAGTGTGGTCCGGTGAAATCCATGTGGCTTTGTGAATGCGTTTGTGCGGGAATATTGTGCCACCGATGACCAGTTTGTTGAAGGAACATAGGTTTGCAAATCTCTCACCGTTTTCGTTCCTTTCTCCCAGTCCATGTCGTCCCATGATGTCTTCATATCCAGTGTTGTCCATTCCAACCTTGGCATTCAGGTCTCCCATAAGAATCGTCAAATCCTTTGGTGAACATTTATCGACTATTGACTGCAGCCTTTCGTAGAATTGATCTTTAACGTCGTCATTGTAGTCATTGGTAGGTGCATAACATTGGATGACGTCCATTGTAATGTCCTCTTTCTTTGTTTTGAAGGATGCTTTAATGATCCTCGGCCCATGAGATTCCCATCCTATCAGTGCGTTTTGTGCATGTTTGGACAGCATCAGTGCAACTCCTTGTGTATGTGAAGCGTTTTCCTCTTCATGACCAGAGTATAACAGCAGTTCCCCTGAAGCTAGTCTCAGTTGTCCTACTTGTGTCCAATGCGTTTCACTGATTCCAAGCACCTCGAGGTTGTATCGTTTCATTTCTGCAGCAACTTGAAATAGTCTTCCAGTCTCCCACAATGTACGAACGTTCCATGTACCTAAAAGAATGGTTGCTCTGGTTGTCAGAAGAGGCATCAGCCCCGTGACTTCCGAGGGAACTCGGCTTTCATCACGAGACGTCATAATTCTTCTTCCAACTCCCAGGGCAGAGTTAAAATGGTTTGAATTATTTTTTCTGGTTAGCGTTTTTTTGGCAAGTGAGATTTCAACGGAATGGGGTCGCCAACCCCATGTCCAACCCTCCTCCTTTATCCGGGCTTGGGACCGGCAGTAGCCCCTAAGGTTCTACTGGCGGAGTTTTTGATCGAAACTAGTAACCTACAAATATCCTCAACTCTTACTGGACATGTTTCACAGCCATATTAGTTGGACAGACCGAACTGCAGCGCAGCGCACTCGTCCTTTTTGGTTATCAGACGGATATCTCGCCTACGCCATAAATGACGCAAGTTGGCAAAAGCCAATCGAGCCTTCTGCATCCGTGCTAAGATTTCGTCCGTCACCAGGTCATCTTGGACTGATGAAACTCCCAAGATAATAAGTAAAGCGGTCGACACGCTCAACGACTTCAAATTGATAAGCATACTAAGCAAACTTATCGATTCGATTACCTAATACTGTGTATATGCTACGTAAACAGTGATGCTTTACATAATCAACAATATCACGTTGGATTCGGGCATTATATTGTCGTGTTTTATTATGATTAACAAAGCTAGAATAACACATATAAGCGAACAATTGTGTTGTTTTCGATTAGATCGTCATCAGGCTGCTTTACTCTAATATATATGAATATTTAAATGAAAATGTTAAACTAATCAAGGCAATTTGAGTGATAATCATAATGAAATGAAAAAGATTACGTCACTACACACATAATAGGCAAAAGTACAAGTGGATAGTAGGAAGACAGGTGTACAGTGATAGTAGTAAGAAAATTTATAAAATATGATAACTAAAGTTTTATCAATATTCGTGGTCAAACGTGGATGAATAGACTTCAAATAATCATTAAAAACATCAAAACCATCACGTAATAAGCAAATGTGTAAAAATAAAAAATAAAATAAAAAATATGATGTCAATCGTTAGTTACGTCATATTCGGCCACGGAAGAGATACGGGTGTCACGAATTTCTTCTGAACACATAAATTGGGGCTGAATTGATGTATTCCTATGGCTTCTGCAAAGTGTAAGAGACGGGATCAAACTCCGTTGGGAAATGATAGAGGTATACGATAGATCACCCGAAAAAATCTAGATTTATCTACAATATGACCACTATCTACCAGGTGTGCTAAGATAGAACTGCGTATTGTTTTTGACTGACACTTCGTAAACCGTGCTGGGAGATGTTCACTCATTCGTTGGGTAAGTTGCAAGGAAGTACGCGCAATATAGCTTTCACCGCAGGAGCAGCAGAATTTGTAAATGCACATAGAGGAGGCCAACTCAGGTGACTTATCGTTTGTTCGGGTAGACATCGCTGGTCGACTGGAGAATGTCAATGCAAGTTTGGCAGCGTTGAATGTTCTATTAATTACTCTGATTAATCTGTCCTGCAGAGTATCGCAGGCAACATCTCCGTTGAATTGTAACTTCATAAACAAAGGCTTCTTTTGGGCAGTCGAAACCACCGACTTCTTTTTTTTTTACGGCAAACATATACTTCTTTATGAATGCGATGGGATAACCAATCTCGGTTAGTGAGCCGTTGATCAATTCCAGCTCCTGACTCAAAGTATTAAACTGAATGGATCATATTTACTCTGTTAGTGAGACATAGAACCGACTTCCTACTATCGACTTGTACTTTTGCCTATTATATGTGTAGTGACGTCATCTTTTTCATTTCATTTTGATTATTGACTCAAATTGCCTTGATTGGTTTAAGCTTTTTCATACAAAATATTCATGTATATTAAAGAGTAAAGCAGCCTGATGACGATCTAATCGAAAACAACAATATTGTTCGCTTATCTGTTGTGTTGTTCTAATTTTCACAATGTGAATCTTTAATTAACAAAGCATTAAAAAGGCAACTTACTTTAAATTCATTGAATGGTACAGTAGACGATGATTGTGCTTGATTTCGATGAAATGGTGACAATGATGATGATGATGATGACAAGTCTAAATTGATGCCTAGAATTTCACCTAAAGTTTTTGGCTAAAATTATGCAAAAAACAATAATAATAATAATAATAATAATAACAAGTTGATATATCGGCAACAACATACGAAAAAATCCCTTGTGAACTAACTATACTACTGATATAGTAATCAAGGTTTCATCCTCATCCTCTTGTATCTTATTGTCTGAATTAATATTTTTCAACGAAGCCGTAATCCATGCTTCATACAAATGAATGTAAATTGCATATATTTGATTAGACTACTGAATATAATTTTAGTACTATAAGAAATTAAACTTAAATTTAACCTGATTGAGTGAATGAAAAAGTAGATCCTGCTGTGTATGAGATTTTGGGTGCAATGTAAAAACAACTGCTCATACAAAATACGTTTCAACTGATAAAAGTATTTTTTTTCATATTTCAGACTACCATTAGAAACCGTGAATCATCAGACAGCCATTTTTTCCTAGTATGGGATATATAGCAAAAGTGTGCACCCATACACACGGAAACCGACCCCAGGAGCTTCAGTCTTGCTCGTGAATAGTTAATGTCTTTAACACCGCGTCGGCAGTCACCTACAGAAGACAAGGAAGGCGATAGTTGTGTAATATTGAGGATTGATTAAAGTTAGACGATGATACCTTTTGAATGCCGGTTCAGTGGTCTGGAAGCTACGTATTCACACGCGAAACTGAAGGTCTCAAGTTCATGGATGCGCACTGTTGGTGAGTCCCATACAGGGACGAAACCGCCGTCTAGAGCTTCCATGGTACCAATAGTGGTCTGACAGTGATGAGTTTGTGACTACCAATAAATCTAACAGGTTTTCGCTGGCAAAAATTTGACAGATTTTTTTATGTTAAGAAACAGTAATTATTCAAATTAAATATCATTGTATGAAGAGAAGCCTAGAATGAAAATCTCACCTGTCGACTTTGTCCAATCGGAGGATGTTTAGGTGTAATTTGTCCAACATTATCAAATGCAGAAGTTGTTGGACGATCTGAGAACACACTGAATGGTGAAACAAAACCTGAGAATGTGCCATCATCAGTCAATGCTAAAAAACATATATATTAGATGAATTAAAAACACTTCCAGCTAGAAAACAAGTTACTAGTAACGAAACACGTGTTTACTTTTAAACAATGAACTATATCTAATGTATTTTGAGTCAACAGTATTTATTGTAGATGAGAGATTTGAACTATCATGAACTTGATAGTAGATTTTACACATTGTGGTGTGTGCTACTTATACGAACGATATAAGTAGTATACGAAGGGACGTGAAAGAAGAATTCGCACGGTCAGAAAAGGAAAACGGAAAGCAAATGGAGCAAGAAGTAAACGGAGTACCAACAGGAAGGAAATGAAGCAACAACAGCAGGAATGGAAGAAGAAGGATGGAGTGTTGGAAGTCACGACTCAAAGATGGTGTGCAAATAGAGTGTTCAATGTAATATTTTCGTTTTTAACTGACTTAGAGTGTAAATTTGCATAAAACGATCTTCCTCGCCTGTCTCAGTCTTCTCAATTGGTGTTGCTGCCTCTACACAGGATGAAGATTCCATGGCTTCGGGAGTTTGAAGACGGAGATGTAAGGAGCTTCTTGAAGGAATTCGAAGCCGTGGCGGAGCTGGTAGGCGTCAAGGAACAGAGGGCGGAGGTGGTGGTGTTGGGGACTCTACTAAGAGGCAGGGCGAGAGAGGTGTACGATGGTGTGGAGGACGCTGACTGGCAGGTGGTGACGGAAAGGCTGCTGGTGGAGTTTGACAGCCCGGCGGATAGGCAGGACGCGCTGCAGAAGTTCCGAGAGGCGAGACTGACGGTGGATGGCGACCCACTTGTGCTGGCTGTGGAATTGACAAGATTGCTGCGCCGGGGTCTGCCGAATTTGGTTGAGAAGTAGCAAGCACAGCTGCTAGTGTCACAATTCATTGAAAGTGTGCCTGCAAAGGTTGCCCAACAATTGAGACTGGTGAACGCCGCACAACCAATGGACGTCACCGAGCTGGCAAAAGTTGCACACACCACAATAAAACAACAATTATTCAAACTAAACAATTCATTCAAACTGATTAGTGTTGGGGATGTTAGATCCCCAAAATTCGCTTGATAATGCCGTATTTCGGTTTTCACGTTCGCCAGCAGGGGCTGATCAAATGACCTTGAGATTTCAATTCCTACCAGGAAAATCAATGGCTGTGATTGGCTACAGTGTATTTTAGTATGCTATTTTCTTAACTGTCTCAAGGACGTTGTTATGTTGTATAAATAAACGAGAGTTGTATGCTTGATTGTACTGGGATTGCTGGGTGCTTGTAGAATATACTTCTACGCCTACAAAGTCTTCGATTTCGATTCTGGGATTCAGGGTAGCCTTCCTGGAAGCTGGTAAAAGTATCGTTCGCGTTTATCGACTAAGGTAAACTCGTAATAGCATCAAGCATCCTAAGTGCCGAACATATCAATTAGTATGTCAATTCAATAGTTCAATAATGATAATAATAATCGATTATCTGGGAGGTAAACACAGAGACTTGCACTTGCATATAGTGCTCCTTAGGTAGCGGGAATGAATCTCCCAGTGAGCTAATGCAGACAACCAAGAGAAGATTGGCCTAGTTGGTCGTTATATGTAAGTTTTGGATTAAGGAAAGTTATGAAGTGTAGAGTTGAATATGAGAGAAATTTCTTTTTTTGTGGCTGTTTCAAACTCTGGTTAAGATAGAAAGAACCATTAGGTTTGGCTGGGGGCAGTATTTTAATGTTGCATTAATTGTATACTTTCATTTCAGTCATTGATTATGGATACGTCGTCTTTTAGAATTTATAAGTTATAATTGATTACTTTACTGACTTACTTACGCCTGTTACACAGCCCAATGGAGCATAGGCCGCCCACCAGTTTTCTCCAACCAACTCTGTCCTGGGCTTCCCTATCCAGTTCTGTCCAATGTTTGTTCATTCCTCTCATATCTTTCTCTATTTGTCGGCGTAATGTGTTGTTCCTTAGCCTTCCTCTTTTCCTTTTGCCTTGAGGGTTCCATGTGAGGGCTTGTCTCGTGACGCAGTTAGGTGCTTTCCGCAATGTGTGTCCTATCCACTTCCACCGCTCCTTCCTGATTTCCTCATCCATTGGAATCTGGTTTGTTCTCTCCCACAGTTCGTTGTTGCTGATGGTGTCTGGTCAACGAATCCGAAGTATTTTGCGTAGACAGCTGTTAATAAACACTTGTATCCTCTGGATGATGACTTTGCTAGTTCTCCAAGTTTCCGCTCCATACAGTAGTAGAACTGTCTTCACATTTGTATTGAAAATCCTGAATTTGGTTTTGGTTGAAAGTTGTTTGGATTTCCAGATATTTTTCAACTGTAGAAATGCAGCCCTTGCTTTGCCAATCCGCGCCTTCACATTTGCATCGGATCCACCTAGATTGTCGATGATGCTGCCCAGATATGTAAAGGTGTTAACGTCCTCCAAGGCATCCCCATCAAGAGTGATTTGATTGGTGCATGTTGTGTTGTATCGGAGAATTTTGCTTTTTCCTTTATGTATGTTGAGACCTACTGCTGCAGAGGCTGCTGCTACACTGGTCGTCTTCTAGCTTTACATCATAATTTAACAAATGAAGATTTCTTACTTACTTATAATGGCATTGTGGTTTTGTATTTCATGTCTTATTAATTTAGATGAGTTCTAAAGTCTATGGTAAAAACAAAAACAAGCTTAACCAGTTGACTAACTCCAGTAGTCAAGAGACCAGGAATGACATTTCGTGAACTCGCATTGTTTGCATTAGCGGTACAGCGGTACAGATAAGGGACTGTGAGTAGAGTTCGTTGTGGAGAGAAGAGAGGTATATGTGGGTGTAGGAAGGATTTGATTTCGACCAATTCGGTCTCGTGTGCTGTTACGGGTATGAGGGCGGTTGTCACTTCCCGGCTGCCCACAACGTGGAAGGTGGTTTCTTGAGGAACCTGAAAAGGAAAATAGATTAGTGTTGGTCTTAGAGACCTGGGTGCGTGACCGCAGAGTCCAAGGGACAACTGCTTGAGGCCTGTCACGCACGGCCTTTTGATGAAATGTTTTTTGAGGATTAGCTCCGTTCTTAAAAGCCCTTAAAGGGCACCCTTACCACCGGAGAAGGAAATCCGTGAGGTAGGGGAGGTGTGACATTTTTAGGGCCGACCTTTTCTAACCCTTCCTTCTTTGTGAGAAGGCAGCATCGCTGCAGATGCTGGTTGTCCGAGGGAAACACCTTATTGCTATCACACCCGTCTACAGTCAGCACGAGTACGACTTCGCCCTCAGACCTTGGGTAGCTGCTTTTAGTCTCATCGTTCTCCAATCGACCAGCCTGGCATGGTAGGACCTACAGGAACATATGTTCCAGCCAGTATAGCTCGGTTGGGTCATCACGATAGGCAAGCCCGACAAGCACCACGTCAAGGTAGTAGCTACGGTCGGGAAGGCTAACTCCGCCTGGAGCGCTTCTAGAGTGACTGCCAGTCCCAAGCCCAGATAAAGGAAAAGGGTTGGGCATGGCGGGGAATTAGCGACTCCATTGCGCAGAAATCCAGCTCGTTAAAAAAAAACACTAACCAGGAAAATAATTCGCTCGATTAGAGGTAACAGGCCTAAGTATGTACGTAAGTAATTAGTTGGCTCCTCTTACATTCTCTGTTTGACTCGCCCATCAATCAGCTCCACATTTACTTAGGAGTTAACAGTCAGATAAAGACAAATAACCAGGTATAACGAGTATAGACTTCTACAGAAAAAAAACCCATAGATTCAAGTAGGTATATGCTGCGACAATAGAAATGTAGAAGATCTGAAGATAAGCAAGGAGATATTAGGATAAATGCGAAAGACATGTTGATTGTATAATCAAACTAACAAAAAAGGTTTGAAACATGTAATAAACGAAAAACATGAATAGATTAGCTCAAATGTGCTGTTATTGTATTGGTACAATTTAAGACCACTACAACTGCTACTACTACCATTACATGCTTGATGACACTGGAGCTTATGGCGAACTGTCATCGGCATAAGCTACTTCAAGTGGATGTCCACTTTCTCCACACTTGTTTAATTTTGTCATAGACCTACTTCTAGGTCTAACATTATCTTTGTCTGACTTTTCTGGAGTGGACCTTCTACCAGAAGATTCACTGGTTGACTTAAAATATGCAGATGACATAACTCTACCTGGTGAAGACGCTGACAAAATACAGTCTTCTGACTACCCTAAGCAACAATGCAGGCAAATTAGGGATGTGGTTTTCCCCGTCGAACTGCAAAATGTTGCCTCAAGATTGGGTTGCATCGGCACCTGAACTAGTGATAGGAAGTGAAGTAGTCGAGCGTGTAGACCGCTTCACTTATCTGGGGAGTCTCATCAGTGCTGATGGCCTGGTGACCGATGAAATCTCAGCTCGGATACAGAAGGCTCGATCGGCTTTTGCCAACCTGCGTCACCTATGGCGTGAGCGAGATATCCGCCTGTTAACCAAAGGACGAGTGTACTGCGCAGCGGTTCACTCTGTACTACTATACGGATGCGAAATGGCCGTTAAGAGTAGAGGATATTCGTAGGTTACTGGTTTTCTATCATAGGTGTCTCCAAAGTATTGCTCGTGGATCCTGGGACAACCGAGTAAGCAATGCTATCGTTAAGAAACGAGTTCTAGGTAGGGATGACAGATCAATAGATGAAGTAATGAAACTTCATCAGTTGAGGTGGTATGGACATGTGTTACGTATGGCTAACCACCGACTGCCACGATGAGCTATGTTTTGTGGTGTAGGAGTAGGTTGGAAGAAAGTTAGGGACGGCCAGACAAAACACAGCACAAATCCATGAAGTCACTGACAAGTGGTCTGAGTTATGTTGGTAGATGTAGGCTACCTGGTTGGAGTCCGCGAGACGAAAGTCACCAATGGTTAGAGACGTTGAACGACATGGCTCAGAATCGTTTGCAATGGCGCAGGTGCATCCACTCTTTGTGTGGTTTTTAATTCTAACCTTCTGAATTCCTCATCATCTCTATCTTTCTCCTTCTAAATTTTTCTCACTGAATCACACTTTTTGAATCATGTCTTCGCTCCCTAATCTTCTCCATTGCTGCTAATACTTTTAATATCGCTATCACTCTTTGATTTGAACTGACAGTTACGTCTCTGTGCTGAGGTGGTATGGCAACCTGAACTGATAAACTTATGTAAGAAGTTCCGTGTTGTATCGGTCTATCTGTCTGTCTAATATTCTCTTGGATAATATTCTACGTTGTAACTGACTGACTGACTGACACTATTCAAAGTATGTATTCACTGTACAGTAGTCGCATTACCACCCAAAACATAAATCGGATCACATTGATAAACATTTAAATACCTCACACAGCAAAAACAAACCCCTTTTGTGTATCGTATTAGGATTGATTAACAGTAAAAAAATATAAGTAGACGAGTTAAATTTCAACTCATCCTCACTGGTTTTCAGAGGAGAACCAAAGAGACTGCCCAACGTGTTAACATTTCAACGTGAAAAGTTCGGCCCAATCCTGTGGTGCAACCAACACACAGGTACCTGATACCCTGGTGGACCATTCACACCATTTATATACACACACTGGTGTATATATTTCCGATCCATGATCGCGTCAACCAATATGCACCGCGTGAACAGGCCATTTCGATCCATCCCGCTTTCACATGACTGTCAAACTCACTATTATTATTAAAAATGGTGATATGCAACGCAACCCCAAATGACAATCGACCTCAGGAATGTTGCAAAACAACCACCATCAGTATCAATCAAATCGGTCACCCTGCTAACCAATTTTGTATATGGATGTTAGCAAAACTTGACCAAAGTAATGCCAAGCCATCCAGTATGTTCATCATGCGAAACCTTGAGCTCCATATGTAGAGCAGTACAGCGTATGGTATACACATAGTATGGCATAGGATAGCAAGAGATGCAGTCCAACTTGATGTAAATGGGCTCCAAACACTCTTATATTATTACCCTTTGTCTTCATGTTGGGCAATGAGCATTTTTTCTTCGCTATACCGAAATTTTGATTTTCCGATTATATGAGACCTGAGTAGTAGTAGTAGGGGCATAGTATCCCTGTTTCATACATTTAGCATGTACAAAATAAGTCTTAGATAGATTTAATGGTACTAACATTACTACTGATAAACAATAGTCAGCCTACATGTAAATATGTGTAGCTTCAGTTCAATGATTTAAGGGAAGGATAGTAACATGTCATTTGTATAAATGTCAGTCAGTCAGATGCAATGTAGAACTTCATACGTATGTACATCAGTTCATGTTGCCATACCACATCAGCCACAGAGTTGTAATTGTCAATTCAAATCCAATAGTAGAAGAGGTTGTAAAAGTATTAGAAGTAATCGGAGAGGTTAGGATTAGAAGATATTATTCAAGAAGTATGATTCAGTGAGAAAAGTTTGGAAAGTCAAAACTCCAGGGGCTGAAGAATCCAGAAGATTAGGATTTGAGAGAACACAGAGAATGAATGCACTGGCGCCATTGCAAACGATTTTGAGCCATGTCATTCAAGGTCTCTAACCATCGATTATTATCATCCGTAACAACATGAGAGACCAAATTGGCCAAAATCAAATTTGTATAAATGTACATACAACTCAAAATACAATACATATTTTATAATCAAGTAATTACTTGTTTCTCGTACACTACTACTACTACTGCTACTTGGATAATGATGATCAGGCGGGTGGTAATGCGAAATACTCGGCGCCTGCTGCTGTCCAACATCTCCGATATTCTTCAATGAATGAATAGGTTGTTGGGGATCTAGAGAATATCTTTATAAACGCATACATGATAAGATGAAACTCACTAACGTCATCAATTTGATGTGTTGCTATTTCTTGACCTATTTGACATTATTATTTTTAACTCTGAGAAAATTGTTTCATACCTTTATTAGTTCTGCTCTTACTTAATGCCGATGATTTAGGATAGTCACAGCGGCGTTGAATAGGATTTGTCATTGAGGAACGTGGTAAATTAGTTAATTGTAATAAGGCTGAACTATTATGACTGATACCCAAATCAGACAATGTTGTGTTACGTAAACTGGTCTCGCCTACAATCTAAATAATTAAGATAGAAATAAATAGCACTGTAGTGAATGAGAACACAGGTGGGGCAACCGAATTGTATTTAACGAAAATTACAGAGTTACTCAGTAAAATCGGGAAACCATATCGTAAATCGTTCATTTGCAAAATAACAGTTCATCCTATGGAACTCGACTGTCTGTTCCTGTTGCAAAACATCGATACACTGTCACTAATCATGCGTTTCATACAAATTCCATTGTTTTCTAACTCTTCCTTTCTTGATCTTGCCCCCATCCTCTTCTGCTGCCAGACATTACGTTGACGCTCACGTCATATACTACTTATAAGTAGTTCGCACCACAGCACTACTAAATGTCAGGTACCATTTAGATGAGAACCTTCAAAACTAACTATCCTCTTTCATAATTTCATTATGAGAGAGAACACTGCGTCCAACAGACCGATTATGAACACGTACTAGCAAGCTTATTTTACACATACGTTTTAATTTTACTTACTTATTTAGGCCTGTTACTCCCCCCCCCCCAGTGGAGCATAGGCCGCCGACCAGTAACCTCCAACCTACTTTTTCCTGGGCTTCCGTTTCCAGTTAAATGCCTTATTTTGGATTTCACGTTTGCCAGCATGGGCTGATCAGTTGATCTTGAGATTTCAATTCCTACCAGGAAAATCCATGGCTGTGATTGGCTGCTGTGTATTTTAGTGTGCTATTTTCTTAGCCGTCTCAAGGACGTTTCTATGATGTTTAAATAAACGAGAGTTGTATGCTTGATTGTACTGTGATTGCTGGGTTGGTTTGTAGAATATACTTTCTACGCTTACAAAGCCTTTTTTCTTCAGCCTGGGGATTCAAGGTAGCCTACATGGACGCTGGTTCATTGTCTCGTTCGCATTTATCGACTAAGGTGAACTCGTAATAGCTTCAACCGTACCTAGTGACGAACTTAACACTCTCTGATTTCTTCCTCCACTGGAATCCGGTATGTTCTCTCCCACAGTAGTTCGTTGCTAATGGTGTCTGACCAACGGATCCGAAGTATTTTGTGGAAGATTATTTAATACAATGATGGGAGATTATTGGTTGTAAAAATGCTTCATTTTTTAATATAAAAAATTTTTGTTTGTAAAAATTTAGAACTTTCACACTATCCTTCCTTTTTTAGATTGTTTTTGGTGGGTAGTTGCTTCATCTCTTCTCCTCCTGTTCACGCTACTAGTTCTTCTACTGTACATGCTCCTAACCTTTCCGACTACTGCTAATACCTTTACTACCTCGACTACTATTGGATTTGAATTGACAATTATATCTCTGTGTGCTAATGTGGTATGGCAACATGAACTGATGTACGTACGTACGTACGAAGTCCTACGTTACTATTGATTGATTAATCGTACATGCTCCTCTAGTACACAAAGTACACTCATATTACGGCTGAAATGTAAACCGGTGCTATGAGTATATTAAATCACTATGAGTTACTTAGTTCTTGAAAGAAGTCCAAGTTAAATAGATTTTTTTCTAAAAAAAAAAACAAGTACATAAAATACCTACCTTAGTTTGAAAAAAGACCACAGCTAAACAATTCTCATCGGAAGATGAATCATGCTCAATGGATAATAAGTCTGCAATTCTACAAAAAAAAATTACAATGAATGAATGATTTTCAACAATAACAACAACAGGAACAAACAGGAAGTGATCGATTACAAATTTCTAGTGCTAAATACATGCAAAGTTACGTCCAGATGACAAGTCCCCATTAGGGATGAAACACGTGTTCTGTATTCCACTACTAGCTATTGTCTACCTCTGCTAATCATGCTTGAAGTGGTCGACTACAAATTTCTAGTGCTAAATACATGCGAACAGTTACGTCCAGATAACGAGTCCCCATTAGGGATGAAACGCGTGTTCTGTATTCCACTACTAGAGCTATTATCTACCTCTGCTAATCATGCTTGTAATATCGAGACAATCCACACACACACAGACTGAACATTAATAAACAGAGGATTCAAATAGCCAATGCACAAGCCAGTGGCCGACTAGCAGCTAAATGAGTAATGCGACAGTGTTTGAAGTGAACGGTACTAGGTTCGAGTCCCGGAATAAACATCGACCCTATGAGATGCATGTACATCCAGCTATAGATGAATCCAAAATAGGACGATAGGTGCTTCTTGGATTTCCCCGCTAGCCACCATCTCATCTCTGTTAATAAGATCATATGCTGTTTTACAAATAACTGTACACAATACAATACAATACACCATATCTCTTTGTAAATTTCATAGAAATAACCAAAATTGAGGATTTATTTAAATTAATCAATGACGTTATAATCTACGACCAGTATGTGTCTCGCATCAATTTACACCAATAATAATGACAATAAGTTACAAGGCATGAATGAATCACAATGTCACTAAAATCAATCTTCTATGCGGACACTTTAATTTAGAAAGAATTTTTCTGTGCTTTCAACTTGATAAGCTGACCAGGTCAGGGGTTGTCAATTTTTGTATAACTTAATTGTTTACAACCTTTATTTCATTCAAACACATAATTAGTGGTATTGTGGTGCGAGCTACTTATAAGTAATATATGATGTGAGTGTCAACGTAATGTCTGGCAGCAGAAGATGGGGGAAGATCAAGAAAGGAAGAGTTAGAAAACAATGGAATTTGTATGAAACACATGAATAGTGACAACGGATTGATGTTTGGCAACAGAAACAGTCCAGTTCCATAGGATGAACTGATCTTTTGCAAATGAACGATTTACGATATGGTTTTCCGATTTTACTGAGTAACTCTGTAATTTTCGTTAAATACAATTCCGTGGCCCCACTTGTGTTCTCCTTCACTACAGTATAAATAGGGACTTAAAATATTGAGACACCATGCTATTCAATTAATGTGTGTTTGTTTGGACTAGGATACTTTGTAGATACTCAAACTGAAACAAGTGGTTTTTCTTAGCGAGTCACTAGCCGAGACTTTGACTTACAGGTCTAATCTACAAGCTAGTAAGTATGGAGTAACGTTAGATGTAGTCCTATGGTAGTCGGTGATCAACAGTAGGTTTATGCACCACTTGTTCACTGAGAAGTACTCGAGTCCATGTGCACCAGTGGTTTATAATTAGGGTTTCCCTATTCCCTTACGTCAGCTGATTCTCTATACTGATCAACTTGGTTTAAGCCCCCGCTAGACATTTAGTTTTCGTCCTCTCAATTTTGTTAAACAACAACCCCCCACCCAAATCACGAAAAGGCGGTGAATAGGACCTCTCTAACAGTGGTTATATAGCCCGTATGAGAACATTTTAAGGGGAAGGGTGAACTGTCTCGGCTTCGGGGTACAGGAGTCAAGGATGCGCATCACTGATGCGTCCCATGCCAAGACGAAACAGCCGTCCAGTACGTCCAGGTTTCTTCTAATGGTGGTTAGTCTAACATTGATCGAATCATGATTTCAATAGGCAACTCAATAATCTTCACAACCACCTCACATAATGCAAATGTATATTTATTTAAAAATACTAATTTGTACGTCAAATGAAAGAAGAAAAAAAAGATGAACAAATCAGTGAACTATTTATTATACCCTGGATTGTTTAGCGCTAAATCTTCAAGAACTGACCAAACCGATACATTTGGGTTTCCATTCCATTCTATACGTTGACCGGTATTAAGCCGAAAACAAATTCGTACATTGGATAGATTTGCATTTTGTATAGATTCCATTTTGGTGAATAATTAACGAAACTAGAAAGAAGGAATGATAAATTATTATTATTATTATTAACTTAACAATAATTATGACTGTGAATAGTTTAGAAGAAGCAAAAAAAAAACATGGAATAAAATGGAAAATTCAGTCATTCTGCTACAATGTAGAACTTTGTACGTACGTACGTACGTACTTACATCGCAGTTCAAGTTGTCATACTACATTAGCACACAGAGATCTAATGGTCAATTCAAATCCCATAATAGTAGAGGTTGTAGAAGCATTAATAGTGATGAAGAAGATTAGTGATCGAAGATGTCATTCGAGAAGTATATCCCAGAAGAATCAATTTAAAACAAAGAGAAAGAAAAAACGGTCAGGGGGAATTCAGAAGATTAGAATTTGAGCGAATACAAAGAATGGATGCATCTACACCATTGCAAACGGTTTTGAGCCGTCAATCAAGGTCTCTAACTATCGATTACTACATCTCACGGGCCCCAACCAGGTAGTCTACACCTACCAACATGGCTCAGTCCACCTGTCAGTGACTTCATGGATTTCTGCCATGTTTCGGTTTGGCCGCCCCTAGCTTTCGTCCAACCTATTCCTACATCGCAAAACATAGCTCGACGAGGCAGTCAGTAGTTAAGAATTAGTAACACATGTCCCAGCCACCTCAAGTGATGAAGATTCACCACTTCATCTATTGATCTGCCATCCTTACCTAGTACTCGTTTCCTAATGATAGCATTGCTTACTCGGTTGTCCCAGAATACACGAGCTATGCTTCGGAGACACCTATGATCGAAAACCAATAACCTACGTATGTCCACTACTCTCACTGGCCATGTTTCGCAGCCATATAGTACAACGTAGCGAAATGCTGCGCAGTAGACTAGCCTTTTAATTAACAAACGGATATCTAGCCTATTCCATAAATGACGCAAGTTGGCAAAAGCCAACCGAGCCTTTTGTATCCGTGCTGAGATTCTGTCAGTTACCAGACCATTAGTACTGATGAGACTCACGAGATAAATGATTCGGTCAGTTCGCTCAACTACTTCACTTCCTATCACTAGTTCAGGTGCCAACGCAAGTCAATGCTGAAGCAATATTTCGCATTTCGAGGGAGGGATCACACCCCAAAAATGGAAAATTATCAAGATGAAGATAATAAACAACTAAAATTTAACGTTAATCAATAGTTTGTAATGATAATAATAATAATAATCACCACTAATTTACATGAGTGATCTTTGTATTCATTGATAATTACAAAAACCTTTTTTTATTTGCTTTTTATTCATATTTCATGCAACAAACACATCAATGGTATTGTTTTCATGTACCTGGTCTATTTGAAACTAGCAGAGTATATTTTTAGTTGAACAGATTTCTATTATGACAATAACAAATCATAATACGCATTACGTGGTTCTGGAGATTGTTAAGTTACACATTTTTGAAACCATGAATCGACCATTGTTAGACCACCATTAGAAACCTGGAAGCACTGGACGGCTGTTTCGTCCTGGTATGGGACTCCTCAGTGCTTCCAGGTTTCTAATGGTGGTGGTCTAACATTGATCGATTCATGGTTTCAAAAATGTGTAACTTAACAATCTTCACAACCCCCTAATGCAAATTACCTGTGCTCACTAGTGACTAGCTTCGTAAGGAGTCTTCTCCGAGTTCTAGTAGGAAGTCGTGACCAGTGAAGTTCAACCTGTTCGGGTGTAGACAGTAACTACCGAAGACTGTGTATGAGGTTGCGCAACTCCGTGAATATGATCAAGTTAGACATTAACACCGTTAGATACCGGCTCAATGGTCCGCTGGTTAGGCGTTCGCGCACAATAACGAAGGCCCTGGGTTCGAGTCCAGCGGGGTGCAGGAGTCGTGGATGCGCACTGCTTAGGAGTCCCATAACAGGACGAAACGGTCATCCAGTGCTTCCAGGTTTCGAATGGTGGTCTAACATTGATCGATTCATGGTTTCAAAAAATGTGTAAAACATAATACGTCTAGCTATTTTGTTAGAAATCAGAACGGCATTAGAAATGCACCATCAGCTTATTATAATATCATATTCATTGGAAAATATGCTTTTGGATTATTGAAAATTCCACTATTGAAATCATACACAAAGATGATTTACAATGATGACTAGAAACTTGGTCACATTTTGTTATATAATACATTATTATTCACGTCAAAATACACTCATTTCACGCATCTAAACATTTCAAGGTTGATCATTGGTTTAGTTGATGATTTGATTGTTAGCAGTGATACCATTGAATATCTTATATCGGGTTAATAGATCTCAATGTTATGATCAAGCCTACCAAAGGTTTTATCATAGGTATTACTGGATTTTCATAAGTAGATATTGTAATTTACACATGCAATAAAACAACTTAACACATGTAACTTGTTTCTAGTGAGTAAATGTGATTCATCCGTGTTTTAATCAGAATTTAGACGTCAGTCAGTCAGTTGCAACGTAGAACTTCGTACGTATGTACATAAGTTCATGTTGCCATACCACATGAGCACAGAGACGCAAATGTCAAATCAAATCCCATAGTGATAAAGATAGTAGAGGTATTAATGGTAATGAAGAAGACTAGGGTTCGAAAATATTATTCAAGAAGTATAATTCAGTGAGATAAGGTTAGAAAGACAAAGGTAGAGGTGCTGACGAATTCAGAAGATTAGAATTTGAGAGGGCTCAAAGAGTGGATGCACCTGCGCCATTGCAAACGATTTTGAGCCATGTCATGGTAGTTGGGCTTGCCTATCGTCATGACCCAACCGAGCTATACTGGCTGGAACATATGTTCCTGCAGGTCCTACCATGTCAGGCAGGTCGATTGGAGAACGATCAGACTAAAAGCAGCTACCCGAGGTCTGAGGGCGAAGTCGTACTGCTGACTGCAGAGGGGTGTGACAGCAGTAAGGTGTTTCCTTCGGACAACCAGAATCTGCAGCGATGCTGCCTTCTCACAAGGAAGGAATGGTTAGAAAATGTCGACCCTAAAAATGTCACACCTCCCCTACCTCACGGATTTCCGTCTCCTTGGGTAAGGGTGCCCACTAAGGGCCTTTAAGAACGGAGCTAATCCTCAAAATACCTTTCATAAAAAGGCCGTGCGTGACCGGCCTCAAGCAGTTGTCCCTTGGACTCTGCGGTCACGCAACCAGTTCTCCGAGACCAACACTAATCTACCTTCCTTTTCAGGTCCCTCAAGAAACAACCTTCCACGGTGTGGGCAGCCGGGAAGCGATAACCGACCTCATACCCGCAACAGCACACGAGACCAAATTGTTTAAAATCAAATCCTTCCTACACCCCCTAATACCTCTCTTATCTCCACGACTAACTCTTCTCACATTCATTTATCACAGTGCACAACTAATGCAAACGATGCGAGTTCGCGAAACATCGTTCCTGGTCTCCTTAAACGCCGTTCCAAACTACATGTTGGAGCATTCAATGTACGGACATTGTGTCAAATAGGGCAACAGGCATCGTTAGCTAGGACTTTAGAATCTCATTCCATCGATGTGTGCTGCGTCTCGGAAACGCGCATACAGGATCCGAGTAGCATCACTCATTTGACCTCACCATGTCAAGGTAAAGAATTTAGACGTACTTAGAGTAGAACTTTCTTTGTTGACTACCAAAGACAAAGTCGATCAACCTAATATCGACAGTTGTAAGTTCAAACATATTGGTTTAGATATATTTGGTAACATTAATCCTCGGAAATTACATATTCGTAGAAATAAGCTTAGAGTATCCGTACAAATTTCGCAGCATAGACTTTACACTGATCAAATATGTATTATGAACTGAAATAAGCGAAAACTTTGCACTCCCTTACATTTGTGGTGAATTTGGTGTATGCGTCAATCAATTAATCACTGTTTTTTTAGGTGTTATCGGCTTTATTTATACATAGTATAATCTGCTCAGGTATGTTTACGGCCTTTTATTCAAACGCTGGTTTATTCATGAATAGGTAAGTAATTTTTGCACAAACATTCGAATGTATTCTGTCAAGACAGAAAATATCAAGTGACTGAGAATGTTTTTTCTGTATATGAATGCATCAAGTTTCTCCAGGATTTCCCCACAACCAAATAGCTTTATGCGAACACACGCATATACTCAGGCAAACAAGAAAGGGGAAATAAAGACGAACTTTGGGGAAACTGCTTACAAAATCCCTAAGGAAAGATGTGATGATAAGAGACAATCCATTAAACAGTCACCTTTTACCCCCAGCCTAGGCTAAATAGTGCAATTTTCCTCCAAAATTAACATCAAATCGTCTACTTTACTTAAAAACCAATACAAATGCGTTGTTTTATACACGTAGAAACGTTGCCATCAACGTCAAAGTTTGTGAGCAGTGCTTCAACGGCTGAATAAGTTGCGTTCGCGATTGAAGTTATTGTTTAAAGATTCACAAAACTACATGTTATTCTTCAGCACATATCTTTAGCTCTAAAACTATCCAGCCAATGTCGCAGTGTATTCTGAATGATCTGATCATCCAAGTCAACTTACGATTGGACTGTTAAGTTTGCATTTTCGTTGTCATCCGAAGAGGAACTGAGAAAAATGAATGCATACCTTCAGAAAGATTTTAGGGACAAAATTCTAGTTTTAAGAAAATTCATTTGACTATTAACTTACAATTTAATGGTCACGATTAGGCAGTAAATGGATGATTTATTAGAAACTTTCATGCGCTATATCTTATATTGCATCATGAAATTTTAAGTTTCCAGCCACTTCACACTGCTAGGAACTTCATCATAAAGAGCACTTTGGAGGTGCAGGTTTTATAGCACCATACAAGGTGCGTTTTCCATTTATAATCCTTCGGTGAATTGATGTAAATGGTCTTATCAGACTAACAAGGTAAAAAGACTCGTTAAATTATACAGCATTGCAACGCAAGACAAGTAAAAAAGTGTCACAAAAAGGAACCCGGTGATGTAATCAGTAATCAAGAATAATAACCATCCAATAATGTTTTGGCAGGTCGATGGTTTAGTGTTATCGAACACTACCGTAAACCATTCAGGTTGGCAGTTGTTTAAAGAAATATGGCAACGTAATATTGTCTGACGCTTTTTTAGGACTGAAAATGTGACAAATCTGCGAATTTTTCGACACGAAGCGACAGAAAAATGAAATGTGGTAAGATTATAATTGTTAGATAACCTTTGAACGACACCACGGTGACTTTGAGAAAACTTACCTGCTTTTCAAACAGGGTTATAGATTAGTGTGAAGAATTAGTACTAATATTCAGAGTAGCATCAACAAAAAGTTCAGAAAAACTACAGGCAGTTTTAACTTCAACCTTTGGTAAGTTTGAGCCTAGCCTGAAGGTACCTAGTGTGACGTTATCTAGAAGAGGGAAGAACGAGATAAAAACTGAGTCGACTACTCACTAAATACATACAATTCACTTGCTTTAAATGTAGAAAATAATCGACGAGGAACAGACGACCAAGAAAAACTGATAATCGGAACTAGAAGTTGGTAGAGTAAGATTTCGAATGAGTTACGCAGCCCAATATCCAATATATCCAATATCTTTTTCACGAGCTAGTGTAAACCAATTGATTTCTTTGCGCTCGATTCTTGTTCTTTCAGTGCGGTTCCAGGTGTTCGGTATTGTCCAATGAATGGAGGCCTAGCCACTCGACTGCCTAATTCTAGTCAGTTGGCAGTTGGTTATGAGTTTGTATGTCTCGGGATTTGAATGAAAGCGTTTGTTTCAGGGCAGTGGGGTTTCTGGATACCAGCAGCTATCACATTACCAGACCTGAGATCAGTTAGTTGCAATATCTTTTTCACGAGATAACAAAATCAATTCATTTCTTTGTGCTAGCTTCTTGTTCTCTGGGTACGGTTCAAAGTATTTTGTAATGTCTACTCATTTGAATGCAATAATTTTGGGCGGTTGGCAATTCTTTATCAATTTTATGAGCGCTTGTCTCACAGAAGTTGTGAAAAGAGAAAGTGTGCACAAACCTGTGTATTTGCTCTTCGGTGTGCAATGTCTTGACGGTTACCTTGAGGGGCGTGGTGGTGATGCTTCGGTAAGATGCTCACGCTTGGATAATTCAGAGTACTTAATATGTTATATGGCATTATCAGATTCCCTCTTATTATCCTATAAGTCAGCGATATTGATCCCGATTGTTGGAGTTTTTCACCGTGAAGTTTTTTCTTCCACCGCGTCACCCATTTAGTTGCTGGTCTCTGTTCTCAATATATATCTTTTCAGAACAGCGGTGTGACGACTTTGTGAACTTCAATGTGTGTCCGTGCTTATGTTCTGAGAAGAGTTAAGAACAGTTCTGTGGTGATTGCATGAAGCAAATGTTCATAACTTAAGGTTCCGACTGGTTAAGTTTTAACTCGTTTTTCAATGCCCGTTCCTCGATTGATGTAAGGTCCTTCTGAAGCTCAGTTGAATCCTCTTCGCTTCTTATAGATATCCAGATCTGTGTGCCTTCTGCATATATTAGTGCTGCAGGGCTTATTTTGTTTAAAAGATCATTACTGAACGTCAGTGAGAGGAGCGAACCTAGAATGATCTCCTGTGAAACTCTAAATGTCGAGACTCGCCAGATTGCATGCACTCCTTTAATCATAATAGGAAATTTTCTGTTCTCATAATAGTTTCTGAGCCAAGATAGGAGTGGGTCAGTGAAGCTCAACTTCGCGGCCTGACGAATGCTTGTGTAAAGTCAAGAAATACTATATGAGCTCAGAGAACGAAACACCACCACATTATTAAGTGAACTGACATTTTCCGGTCTCAATAGGTTGTCCAACTGTCCAATGCTATCAGGAGATTGGAGGCGAACGACCTACCTTTCCGAAACCCATGTTGAGCTTCATGGAGGACGTCAAACTTATCCATGTACTCTCTCATTTGCTCATCCACCAGTACTTCCATTACCTTCAACAGTATTGGTAGAATGCGACCGGTTTGTAACGAACCGGATCGTTCCTATCTTCTCCTTTGAAGTTTGGAGGGAGAGCAGCTTGTTTCCACTCGTCTGGGAGTTGGTGTGACTCTAGTAAATGTCTGAACAGGTCACATATCGGTTAACTGAGGTCTTCCTCACACAGTTCCTGGGTTATTGAGATGATTTTGACGCATCCTGGTGACCTTCCTTGGACCTTTGAGAGAGCAAGCACTCGGGTTTGTAGGTGTTTTTTAGTTTCTCTGTTTTTTTGGATGCTAGCCTCTTCTGAAAGTGTCTCCTATCGCTTCGAACCTAAGCATTGAATCTGCTTCCCAATTTAAAGTAAGATTTACGGTCAAAATCCTTCAGAGAGATCTACAGCTTGTGCCAGGCTCTCTTTTACACTTGTAGCAAGCGTTCATTGCTTCGCTTAACCCAAGTTGTTCTCTGTGCCGATGAGTGATCTTTCTGAGGTGCATTGTTCAGGACTGCATTATGGATGATATCTCTTACTGTTTGCCGGTGACCAACATCTATTAATCCACACAATTCCTGTACCCATGTGGAGTGTAGAAGATGCTCTCATGCAAGTGTAATTTGCCCTCCTGAGCATTTCTTTTATGACCATATTGAACATGACTGCGCCACGGTCATTACTTCCTACTGGTGTATGGATATGAGCATCCTCGACTAGGAACTGATCATTTGTCAACAAAAAACAACCTTTGAGGGTTTTCTATCCTTAATCCATCTGGTGGCACTACACACATGCTCAGTCAGTTCGGAACTTTTGAAGGCTGCAGCAAGTTGTCTTTGGAACCAACCTGCGAGAGTTATACCCTGCTTACCTGAGATTTAGATATGGGGTTTTGAAATCTCCGGGTAAGTGTATCTGATCAAACCAAAAAGGGGGTGGTAGTTGCAGCGCTGCTTCGGTCGACTTTCCTTACTGGACCATAGAACTTGTCAGTCAAAAAATATACTAAATCTCTATTTGCAATCCTATTTGTCAGTTTTGATGAGGATTTGAGTAACAGTCAGATGCATATCGTCTACTATCAGAATATTTTCAAGTTCATGCTGAATGAATCCTGTAGGTAAACAATTATGATAATAACGGTCCATTTTACACGACTCGTTACCATTTATTTCAACTCATTACGATATTAAGACATAATTCGATACTGCTGGCTTCAAATTCTCCACGCACAGTTGACGAGTTACCGTTTACAATTAGAGTTACTTCGTTATAATAAATGCTGTCCTGTCACATTTTGGAGACATACTATTTATTACTACACCATCTGAAATACGGCAGACGATCATGTCCTAATCAGGCATTTAGGCAAACTAATTTCTTACTAATCTAGACACTAGGAGTGGTTCACTAAATGTAAGCAAATAATATTACTAATTTTATCACGCAAGTCTATGGGACTTTTCCTGGTTTGTGATGAATTTACGTATCATTTGTATATTGTACCACAAAAGGACGAACTAAGAAATCTAATCGTTGTTGAAAACCATTCTGATTGCTAATAATCAGCTAATTTATGAGAGTTATATCTTTGTGGTGAATTTCTAAACTTTCCTGTGATAGAAATTCAAACGAATTATGTGTGCCCATTATTTCATACGTCACCTTGAACTGGAGGGATTTGGATGGGTGGAGCTAACACTTTGAAAACTTCCCATAAAAATATTGTAATAATAATAATAAGTTATTCTCAAATAACAAACATGTTACGAGAGACATGTTACGGGAGAAACGAAGACATTTTGCTGATCAAAACCTTCATGTATAAATATCATTAATTTCACTGTTTTTGGGTACATTTGTTTTACTTAACTTATGAACTTGTTTGAATTATTATTTGCGGACATATTGGACTCCCGTTTCTCTTTGTTGTTCGTTACAGTTTTTTGCTCCAAGAGATAATAAATTAGAAGGTAACTGTAATTATTATAATTATTGTTGTTAGAACGACATTGGTCGTCTATTTGTAATAAATTATTTTGGTGGAATTTGTGATTTGGAATAAACTTTGGTATCTACTTTGGAGTTTCGTTCTTGGTATAGAAATTTGGGACCTTGAATTACCAATAGACGACAACAGTGCTTCGTAAGATCGACGAGCAAAAAACTGGACGTAACAAGACATGCCAATTTACAGGCAAGATCGAAATGTTAAGATTAGCAACATATTTCTTTTAAAACGGTATACAGTTAGTGAAACATTTCACGAGATTCATTGGATTCCTATAGATGGAATGTACAATGCGAATAATTGGCGCGAGTCACGAAGGTTGCATTACGACTATCATCTTAATGACTGCGAAAGGATTCATGGTAGAGACAGGTTTGCATATAACAAGAATTGATGCGGTAAATGTACAAAGGTCTGGTTGATATTCATCAGCTAATGATTTCACATGTTCCTGGGTAGGGTAACCAAGTCTACGGCAAATATCCAGACTAATATATGAGGATTGGAATAAGGTTCTGAAAAAAGGGGAATAAAGAAAACGGGACGAGGAGCGGAACAGAAAATATTCTTGTGCATGACCGACCTTAAGCAGCTGTTCCACGTTCTTAACTACATGTTGGCACTTTTCAGTGTCCGAACCTTGTGCCGAGTGGGACAACAAGCTTCATTAACTAGGACGCTAGAATCTCAGGCCGTCAATACCTTGTGTCTTTAAAACGCACATACACGAAAGTCAAGTTACTTCGGAAGTCATGAGGCTGATTCGCTTTCTAATAACCAGAGCAAGCAATAATTTAGGTACATAGAATGTTCGTACAATGAGGAAGACCGTGTAAGAAGTCATTCAGATTGCTACAGAAACAAAAAGATACAAACCAGTGGTACTTGGAATCATTGAAACACATTAGACGCAGGCTGGACAACAATAAATAGCCTCAGGAGATAAGCTGTCAAACTCTGGCGATGAGGAAAAAACTGCTCCACGTACACAAGGAGTTGCGCTAATGCTATCCAAACAACACAAAACCAAGTGATAGAATGAGGAGGAAACTACTATGGAGAAAAACTTTTAAGGGATCAGAGAAACAATAACTTCAACACGTCATGAGGTTATGGGCCATTAGAAGCATCATCACAAGGATTGGATCTCTTTGGATACTTTGGATAATGTTCAGGAAAGGAATAACAAGAAGGCAGCAATCAACATCAGCCAAACAAGATTATTGAAGCAAACAAACAAGTGAAGAGGAGCATTAGAGCTGCCCAACATAAATGTGTGGAAGATCTAGCAATGACGAGGAAATAGCTGCAAGAGAAGAAAACCTGTGACAACCAGATAATACAACTAAGACGGTTGCTGAAAAATGTCGTGAGCCAGAACGACCACTGAAAAGCAGGGAAGGCAAAGTTATCATTTACACTGAAGAGCAGCAAACCAGGTGAGTCGAGCACTTTGAGGAGCTGTTGAATCGAGCAGCCCCATTGAAGCCACCCATAATCGAAGCAGTTTTCACAGACCTCTCAATCAATGTTGGCCCACCAAAAAGTAGAGAGATCAGAACAGCCGTCAGACAGATCAGTTGCGACAAAGCAGAGAG